GGACATACATTGATAGTACCTAAATAATTGCCCAGTGGTAGTGTATGCAATTGAAAAGTAGTGGCAGTATATTCCTGCTGCTTTTCCCGTTGTGTGGAATTACCCGTGTGAATTTACATGTACTTTGGTTTTGCTGAGGAAGAACAGTTTAATCAACTAAAATTGCTGAGGGTTTTTTTTTCACTTAAAATACCTCCACAAGGCTAATAATCTGTGCTGTTAAGATAACACAGTAATTATCAAAAACAGTGGAACCTGTATTAGTTATTATTTACTACTCTGCACTCAGACATCATACAGAGCTAGATTATACAAAGAATTGTTACTAGAGGAAGTATGTAGATTTTCTCTCCTTTTCTGGCTTTTGCTGGAGTATGATCTTACCAGAAATTAGCTATGTTTACCAAAAATTAAAGAACTGTTTTCATTCTGGCTTTTTAACTTCTTTTTTCCCCTACTGCTATGCACACATAAATTAAAACCTGCCTATTAGCCTTAAGGCAAATAAACAATGGCACCATTCAACTGGAGGCATTGTACTTTTACTCTTTCTCAAGGTTATATCCTGTGAATCTGTTTTCTCACCTTTTTTAACTTTTAGACTCAAGCAATTCTTGTATCAAGGTGAGTACCTACAGCTGTTTTTTGTCTTAAAATGGCTTGACAATATTATTGATGATTAACTAAAATTAGTTAGGAGGAGGAGGAGAATGTTCAAAAGGGTATTTGACAAAAGGTACTAATTTCTAGTCTTGCTCCTGGAAGTCAGCCTGCAAATACATCAAAATATGGGCTTTTCAAGAGGCATTCAGTGTCAGCATAACTTTGCTTCCATTCAAACTAGCAATGCTAAGTTCAGAATGAGCAGAGTCAGGTCAATAACAAATTTATATGTTTAAATCCTGCCATCAAAGGGCATTAGAAGGCTTGCAGGAATACATGTGTGTTTAGTAGTCGGGAAATAAACAACAGTTATCACTGCTCTGTGCTTGTTTTAGAAAGAGAATGAGAACCTGAACTTCGCAGGTTTTCATTAAGGTATCTGATGACTGTAACTCACCAAAGCAGATGTTTCTGCTTTTGGAGTGACATAAACGATCCCCACTTTAGTCTCTTTTGCTCCTTGTATTTGTGATACTGGATAAGAATATGGAACTTAGGTTTTAAACATGTTTGTGTTTGATTGGTTTTCTCTAGGAAACAAAAATGTCTTTATAAACTTAATGGTAAAACAGAAAGGTAGTCTTGCCAGAAGGGCAAATCTATAATTGTGGCCTTAGGGTACTGCCTGTATTTTAGGACTGGTAGCAATGGTACTGTACAAAAGAGGTTTGTCAGTGAAGCCATAAAGTATATTGGTTATCTGTAACCCAGACTCTGATTATCTGAATTGTACCATACAAACCCATTTTGAAGATTAGGGTTCAATTAAACTAAATACACCTTGCTACAGTTTCTTAATGAGAATAACAATCCAATTAAGTTCTTCTAAAGAAATAAGTTGTTTTTTAAAGAATGCAAGCCTAGAAAGTAGTCGTTTTAATCCAATATTTCTCTAGAGAAGAGAGATGTTCCTCCACAGAAAATATTCTTTGCTCTAGCCAGTTTCAGTCAGTGGGTTGCCCAGAGGCTCTGAAGTCTCTGCCTGTGGAGATATTCAGTACTCCATGGGACAAGCCTCTCTCTGAGCAGGCTGATCTCAGGAGGCCCTTTTTTAGTAAGAGGCTAAGTCCAGATAACCCCTAGAAGTCCCTTCCAACTTAGATGAGTCAGTGGTTCTCCAGTTCTGGTAAGTCTCTTCTCACCCTGAGTTTGCATTGTTCTGAATTCCAGCAAGAACATTATTACTGACAAGAAGAAATTCTATTTTGTTATGGGTGTTCCTCCTCAATAAATCAATTTGATTTAACTGATCAGTTTGATTAAACCAATTTGTTTGATCATAGGTGCTCTGACTATTGTTGTTTGGTGATAACCCTATAGGCACTGGTGCCACAAGTCAACTCCAAACACTTGTTCCATTTTTGTGTTTGCTAAGTGTTTTATCTCATTGTCTGTCCCCTTGATTCCTCTGTTTTTCTTTCTTCATCATCTAAACATCACTTTCTAGCAGATTGCTCATGTCAACAGTTGTCTTAGTTACATTTCAAAGAGTAGTGGTGTTACACTGATTTTTGTTTGCATGTTCTTATAATGTGAAATTGAGTTTATTTCTCCAAACCATTCAATGAGCCAAACCTCAGGTTGATTCCAAAAAAAATGCTCCTCTCAATGAAACAGTTAAAAGCTGAAGGATACTGTGTCTAGATACTAATCTAACCAAGAAAGTTTAGGAGATTTTATTCACTAAATTATTTTTGTAACTAAGATGAAGTTCATGCTATTTTTTCCAGATATTTTGGTAAACTATTTTCTTCTTAGATTAAGCAAGTGTGACATTTCATTCAATTGGCCCTCCATCTGGATTTGTTATTCTCTTTCTAATCTTGTTTTTCTCAGCCTTGTTTAGTGCTGTTCTTTATGAACACTCAACATGAGCAAACCAAAGAGAAAGGGATTAATAATTCAGTGTTGGTTTTTGTTTTGTTTTGTTTTTCCCAAATCTAACTGAACCTCCCAAATATATTTTGGTTAGATCTTCTGTTAGTTAGATATTCTGTTGACAAAACTGATAAAATAACACATCAAGATATTGAGTAAAAAAATATTTTTTAAACATCTGTACTGTGGTAACTATTTGGAAGTTTTTTGTGTTTCTGTATAAAAAGATAAGAAGAAGATAGTGCTCATTTATGAAACAGCATCTTCATAAGGTATGTTTGGCTGCCATATCTAGTATGGCTTAAACTACAATGTGCTGAAAAATGCCTATAAACTTCCTGTTTAACAGCCATCACTAAGTCTATAGGCTGTTTTTAATAAATTTCTTCCGTTTTTCAATTTTTATTGGTGTGTCAGGACTTTAGTTTTCTTTTTCTATATACTGGGCTTATTATTATTAGATGGTTCTTTTGAGTTTTGACGGATTGTGTTTTGGTTTGTTCTGGTTTTTATTCCAAGATGTTTATCACAAAATTGCCAGTCCACTGCTAACTTACCTCATCTTTAAGAGAGCAGTTTGCAGGAGATTTTTAGAGCAATAAAATTTAGTTTTGGTTTTGTGGTATCTACTTGCTAAAGCCTTATGGGAAAATATAAGTTAATTTGTGAAATGTACCTATAAAGGAAAACATCATTAGAGCCTGATTTAGAATCCATTAAAGTCACTGGAAAGAGTACAAGTTAATTCACTGCCTCTGAAGCAAGCCTCTCGGGGGCATTTTGTTGCTGTTGTATCATTCTGTATTGAAACATTTTTCACAAATTCATCAGCAAAATAACTGCAAGATTTTTTTTCTGTAATTTTTTAACACCAGAAATTCACTTGTTTGTTTATCCATTAAATTAATTTTTTCATGAAGCTCAGTAAAACTTTGAGTACAAATATTTCTCTGTTTTTATTATATTTGTCTCAAATATGTTAGCTCTGTAGTGATTGGGTTGGGTTGCTTTTTGTTGTTTGTTTTTTGTTTGTTTGTTTTGGTTTTGTTTTTGTGGGGTTTTTTTGTGGGGTTTTTTTATGTGCCAAAGAAAATCATACATGTGTATCTTAACTTTGGATATCATGTCACAAACTAGTAGTAATGTTTTAGCTACTTCAAGGACTTGAATGTGCTACAGCAGTTCCAATAATATCAGCATCTACCAAGGTGACGAGGAAGGGTATCAAAAGTATAAATGTTAGCATTCCAACCATACAGTCATAGTAATTTCCAGATAAACAATACTAGATTTAAGAACTCCCAGTAAGCTGTGTTCAATGAGAAACATTGAACATAGTGCAATGTCTAAAAAACTAGGAAATCATCCCCAAAGCTAACTAACAATTTCCTTGCCTGGTTTTCTGTCTTCATACTTTCTTTTTCTCATACGAAGTACATCTTTACCCATGTCTCGGAATACCATCCATTTGGTTATCTAAAACTGTACCATATGTAATTTTATGAAAATTTCATTAATTTTCATTAGAATTTGGACATTTCATCTTCCAGTGTTATCATGCGGCTCTCTGCGTTCTCTCATCAGCTTCAGCCAGCCCTGATGTAGCTTTCTTGTAAAGCACTGTGTCTCTTCCTGAGTTCAAACAGAGCTAAATTTCTCCTCTTTGCTGCATATTCACTGGTCTTTGCCATGCAGTTTTCTGTTAGGTAGCAGCCATTCTGTTGTTCATACCTTACATACAGTTCTCTTCATGCTATGTGCAATCCATAGTAAAGAAGATGGTAGCATTGGGAAGAGATTTTGCTGGCATAGTCATAGTTCTTGAACTCTCTGGGCAACAAATCTGGACAATATTTTATGCTTTAGGCAGCATCAATTTTTGTTTTCTCCCACTGGCTTTAGTTCTAACACTCGGAATTCATGTAGCCAAGAGGGAAGCATGAGGAAGAGATGCTGAAAACCATGGCTCAGTAATTGGGACTTCATTATTTGTCCATGTGAGGCAACAGATATAAAACCACCCTATCATACAAACTTGTCTTGATTGCTAGATGTGCCTCCACCCATCTGCACTTCCGTGTGAGTGCATAAAACTAGATCAGTTGAAAGCATCAACCTTGGCATTTACCTTTTAGCTGAAACTCAGGACCAGGCTTTCAGACCCAGATTTACCTGCCAACCTCACTTCCACCCCGCACTTGACTAACCCATAGATGCACGTCAGTCTCCCCTCTATGTCCTCTTTTCCATGTGAAGGAAAAACACATGCAGGCCAGAAGGGAGTCAAGTTTTCAGGAAGCAAAAGTAAAATGAGTTGACAAAATACTGATAGAACTGCACATTTGAGGCAGAATTGGGAGCTGGGAAGGGTGACGCAAGATATTGACCATTGACCACGACTTCTTCATATTTTAGTTGAAAAAGTAATGCCTGTTGACTGTTTTGTTTTTCTCTTGCAGTCATCTCTAACAAACAGTGACATCATCTTCGTGAAACTGCATGCCCCTTGGGAGGTCCTGGGCAAATATGCTGAACTAATGAATGTAAGAATGCCTTTCAGGTAGGTGTAGTTGTATTTTATCTCAACTTCCAAAGTCACACAGTACTGTAAAGCTAATATGATAACACCAAAAAGCACATGGAAAAGCTCTTCTTTAAGATACCACACATCTTTAGAAAATATAAATGGAATACCTTAGATACCATGTTCATTGCTGTTTCTTGTTAAAGCCTGCAATTTCAGTACAATACTGGTTTGAGATTAAGATGGGCTGTAGCAGTGAAGCTGTTTTCATGGGGTATTCTATCCTTAGGCCCTTTAACCCCTTCAATGCTGGAGCCCCCTGCATACTTGTGCGCTGCTGTTTTTTAAATGGACATTTCATTGAAATCAATGGGAGGTCAAGAAGATCCAGGTACGTAAGGCAGCACAGAGAGTGCATGTCTGTTGGACGTATCTGGTATGCACCTGTAAATTGCTTGTATAGTAATTATGTAATTGGTATCCCATAAATAAGTATAAATAAGTAACCCACTTAATAGGAGAACAATTCAGACTATAAATGCTTTTTTCTGTGGAGCAAATAGAGAATGTTTATTAAATGCTACTGATAACCAACCTAATTCCACATTGAGATTTAGATTATTTTTATAATTAATTTAATATTATTTGCATGTTGGGCTAAAATCTTCTATGTAAAACATTGTTTTTACTCTGCTGGTTATCAGAACTGTTAAAGTAGCATAAAGACTTCCACTGAAACTGACCAAAACCCATGAACTGAGAGGCATTGATTCTTCTTTCAATTAGCAGGGTTTATAGATGTAAAGCTCCATTGATTTTAATGGAATTACTCCCAAGGAAGAAAAGGATCAGACCCAGAATATGGAACTAGTAAGCTTTTGTCCTTTGTAGGAGTTTTTCTGTTTTTTCTTACATAAGGATGAAAAATGCTTCTGGTATGAGACAACCTGTAGCATTACAGAACTTTCAAGGAAAAATGGATATGTATGGATGACAAGATTGTAGGCTTACTCTGTATTTATTTTGGTTTTCATTTTCACAGTAAATCTTCAACTGTTCTTTTTTGTGCTTTTAGTGCTAAAGAGAAAATTCTAAAACCATTCATCATAAATTATTGTAAAATATTAATATTCTTTTTTTAAAGTGTTCTAAGGATAGAAACAACAGGGTAGGCCAAAAGTGTGCCTCCTTTGAATTCTGTGGCATTCATTGAGATGGACCTGTCCCAGTAGCAGGGTAAGGTCTCATGATTCAGAAGTACACCAGGAACTTCAATTTTAGTCATTGAGCAGCTTATTCTTTCCTGATCACTCAGCAGATAGCAAAGTAGATGCCATACAGATGATACAGAAAGCTTTGAAAATACTAAAGGTTTCTTTAACTGTTTCAGGATCACAGCTTCATTCTTTCTACAACCATAGCAAGAGTATTGTTGAGAAAATCATGATGATTCTCTAATGTCTGCTGGGCAGGCTCTTCCATTTTATTTTAAAAACAGCACTACTGTTTACCATTTAAAAACAAGGACCAGAATTTTACAAAATGTCCACAAGTCTAGACTGCCTGTATCCAGATGCCTTTGTATAACCCCTTGTTTAAAGGGCTGCTGATTGCTTATCACTCATGATATTTCAGGCTGGAATCCTGCAAGGTCCATGCATCAGTGATTGAAATCCACGCTGTTTCAAGGCATAGTTGCCAAAAGAGTGGATACCTCCAAATATTTGAAGCAAAATCAAGAAGTGGATGGCATCTTCAGAAACACTTATCTTTGACCCTTCTCTGCTCCTATTGAATAGAGCAATATAAATAACACTATCCAAAGAAGGTTGGCCAACATGAAATAATTTTGAAAATGTCACTTCACCAGCACAATATGGACTCTTCCAACAAAAATAATGTCAAAAAGTTCTGAAAATTAACCTGGAATACTAACAAATTTTTCCCCTATAGTATATAAAGCATTAGTGCCGTCCTATCTTAGAGGGCTTGCTTCCAAGGTACTAACACAACTCCTACACTACAGTCAGAATATATGTGATGTAAGCCTTCATTTTCCAAATGTGTTACAGTTTAGCATTACACAATGGAACCTCAGAATACACAGAAACCACCTTGACTTAGCAATGACCTTTTATAGTTGACAAAGTCAGCCTCTGGAGGAGGTAACCAAAGTTCAGGCAGGCACCAAAATCTTCCAGTGAGGACTGTCAGTCCAAATCCACACTTAAGAACCCTCAGATTTTCTTAACTCTCATGGAGATGCGATCTCTGTGCTGAAGGCAATGGGTCAAGTCCTGACAGTTGTGGTGTTACAGGCATCTATGACAAGAGCAAGAGGGGCCAGCAGGGGAGTGGGATGGGAGGTAGACTCCCTGTCTTGGATCAACATATCATGATTAGGGGGCCTCTCTGTACTGTAAGGCTGGTCAGGAAGCCTGCTGAAAATGGATTCAGCATGTGTCTGCTCGTGTACCCCTGTCTGTTCACTTGTTCATCACATGCTTACTGATTGCACTCACATCACATGTCTTATTGATTTCACTGACTGTGAAATCACATACAACTGTGCCTGTATGAGTAGCAGAGGGAATGGCTGCACACTTGTCAGGGTGCTGAGCACATGCACATTTGCTTATGTAGCCTATATTCTGTTTCAAGGGATCTTACCACAACAGCAATCCCTGATCTTGCTCAGTACCACATGTGGTACAGCACATTGCAACATAAGGTACAGCATTCCTGGATTTTCTAAGTGATTTCCCTTTTCGTTTCACCAAATACAGCTTTAATAATTCCCTAGTAGCTGTCAGGTAATTTATCTGTATTTGTGTCAGTCCTATAGAATTCCTTCAACAGTTTATGGACTTTTCTAAATAGGAACATCTTTGAGTCCCCACCTTTCACACATGACAAATAACAGAAAAGGAGGAGACAAAGGGAAAATGATGACCTTCTGGCAATTCAAATGCCACCAGAGTCTGTGTGGCTTCCTGAGACAGTTCTGTTAATCTCTCTTTTAGTCTCTTCCTCCACCTCTTACAGGCTTCTGTCTTCAATCTCCTTTCCTTCCTTGCTAGTTCATACTGTAACTGACGATGGGTTTTCTTCTCGACTGGCTTCATTTTTGCTGTTCTTCCAGGAGAAAAATCTATTACCTGCACCGCCGATACAAGTTCATGAATAGGTGAGTACAATTCTCATGCTAGTCCAGTTTATGTTCATTTGGACCCAACTAAAGTCAAGCTGGAAGGAAAAGTTTATTAGCTGTGTTTGTAGGAAGGCTGAAGAGAGTGATTACATACTAGGATGTCTGGAAAAAAAACAATAAAGATGTTGCATTTTTAAGGCATCTGCAATGTAAGAGGGGCAATTCATTTTATCAGTGATGCCTTCTTTAGGAATAAGGAAATGTTTTCTAACTGATGGACTCCATGAAGAAGAGGAAGTGTATCAGTGCAAACACTGTATCTCTTTCTTTTCATGTAGCTCGTTAGGGAGTTTCTTGGGGTTAGAGTACCACAGCTACAGCTTTTTTTTTTTTTTTTTTCATTTCCATGCACCTTGCTTATTCATAATAGTGATAGCATTATTTATTTATTGCTATCTCTGTGGGAATGCTTAGTACTTTATTGGTAGATAGGAAGGCAATGAACTGAGTTCATCTCTGGTGTAACATTATTGAGCTTGAGAGACGAGTATTTTCAAAAAATCTTTGAAGTGCTTTCACTCAATTATTAAATACCTTTAAGGTTATGTTTGATGCCTGGTTTATGTCTGACTTAACACAATGAAACACTTTCAGTGTTGCAGTTTGCATTTTCTTTTTTATACCTTGAACAATTAAAAAAAAGTATCTCCAAAATGACTAAAAATTGTACAGGCTTGGCAAAGATCAGATCATATGTTGACATTTAATGCCACAGTGCTGGTGATGCAGTTTTCAAAACAGCCTAGCACCTGATTTACTGTGACAAGCTGAGGTCAGTTGAAATATTCCCAAAACCTCTTAGAGAGAAGAATTAATTTGAAAAATCTGCGTTGTGGAGTACAGAACTGTATCACTTTGCAGATAATGTCATTCATATGCATGGGAAAATAAAACACATATTATCACTCTGCTGTATGAACATATTAAAAAGTATTTTGTAGATTAAATTATGTCACAGCGTGATAGTGACTTGACAATACCAGTACTGATCTCACATTATAGTATTTTCTTCTTTATATTAGTAAGTACCAAATGAACACTTTGTGGAGTTAAGACATTTTACCTCTTGGCATAAGGTAACAGGTATACACAATTCTTCTAAAATTTGTTGATGTTCCCCCTCTTTCCGTTCCCACCTTACAATAAATACTACAGTGGCTGTTAACTTTGAAATTTGTCTTGGCTTTAATAAGGATATGGCTGCTTTGACTAAAGCAATAAATAAGAAGGAGTAGGTAAAGACTCTAAGATTTATATGTGGTGTATGAAGTTTTGCTTCATGTTCATTTTCTATTTCAATGTCTCAATGGGAAGAGGTATTATCCTTCACAGGTATTTGGTTCCTCAGTGATGAAAACACTTGGCTAAATTGAATTTTTTTGTTCAGATCTATAACTAGATACTTGAGGTAGAAAAGCTATAACTGAGTAGCCCCAGTGACAAAAAGAAAACATTCAGCTTTATTTTCACTTATGTGAAACTTAGATACACAGCTTCAGTGAAAGTATCTATTTCCTTTACTTCTAGTTCGATGTAGATTACAAGTACTTGAAGCCTGTATCCATTTTTTGAGCTAAGACAAACATTATATTGTTATTTGGGCAAAAATTATTTTAGAGAGGACTTGTCACAAGACAAAGCCCAGAGCAGGTCTCTTGCAATTTGTCAACTTGACTTGGGTTTTCATTTGAAAAATTCTAGTGATCTCAAAACTTCAAATAACAAGATTCCCCTAATGAATTTTAAAGGAAAGGAGAGGTATCAGGTACCCATCCAGAACTGCATTGTGTTTAAAACTAAACTAATACAATATCTAGCACTACAATATGCATAAGGTTCTATGAAATCTGACCTGCAGATAAAAATCAGTCTCCATTAAAACCTTTTTTTTCATTTTCCTAACTTTCTCTTTCCTTTGAAAAATTGTTTTGTCCCTACCCCACTTTATAGTGAGAAAACAGTTTATTTTAAATTATTTGAAAAATGCTTTGTGTAAGTTAAACATGATACGTATTCAGAGAGAGGGTACTAACTAAAGACTAGACTTGGGGAGCAGGGGCAGGGTTGAAGTGGAAGAGATTCTTTCTGTCTTTGATACACTGTTTTAAGTAGCTAATGCTTCATCACTCCATACACACTATTGTTCCTGTGTAGGTCGCACTTTCCAAACCCTATTCAGTATGTAAACTTCTCTACAAGGGAAAATGAGACATGGATTAGTCTTGAAAAAGTGATGAAAAAAAAATTATATTTTTAACACTGACTGTCTGTGTTAGCACCAACACCACTCTTTCAGCTTTTTCCTTTTGAAAGATGTTCCTGCAGAATACAAAGCCAGCACTGCTGATTGGTGGCACTGTTGGAATGAGTTGCAGAAAAATTAAAAATTTTGTCATTTTTCCTTTTCAAGGAGATAACTTGGGGAGGGGGGTCTGTTTTCCCCATTGTACTGCATGTTCTGTGCCTTGCAGAAAGGTTTCACAGCCTTCTCAGACCCATGTTGCCAGCATGCTCACTGAGCATGCCAAATAATCTGAGTCTTGGGAATGGCAAACCTCTAAAATTCTGGGTACACTCAGTGAGAAGCCAACATGAATAATGCATTGCTCTTAAATGGGGAAAGCACTCAGTCCCTTTGTGTGTGGTTGTGTGGTGTGATAAACCTGCAGTAGGCAGTATCTCAAATGTGCACATTGATTTGCAGGATGAATAGGAAAGGACTGCAAATTCACAAGAGTGTTAATAGCTTAGAGAATTCAAATGATTTTAGTTAGCAAGAATGGAACAGGATATTTAGAAAAACCCTCTTCCTGATTCTTCTTCCCTTTTCCATATCCAGACACACTAAGCCTGTTGAATATATAGTAGCACAGAGCTCATGGCATTTACAGAGGAAAAACTGGAGGCCAAAAACCAGGGATTTCCCCTGCAGAGAACTTTCCCTTGGCATTCCTATCAGTGGCTACACAGAGTAGCTCAAGGATGTCAGGCTGAATGCTTCAGCTGGAGAGTTACAATGAATTGGGCCCTTTATAGCTCTGGGATATGACATCTCAGCTGCACAGACATTTGCAAACTACCTCCTCCTGTGCTCCAAACTGCTGGGTCAGTGCAAACACTGCCCATGAAGAGTTTTCAATTAATTTAGCGTAAATCTTATGTTTCCATATATATTACTGGTTTTCCAAACAGTCCTGATGATAAATTTGCATGCACACAACACATCTCCCTCCGTCATGCCATTCCCAGATTGAAAATACACAAATGGGACCAAAACAGGTAGAGCTGATTTCTTTGCAATTTTGAAATGTGTCCATGTTTAAGAATGAGTGTTAGCTTTCTCATCCAAGACAAAAAATACCTGATGAGAGAAGGTCAAATATTTCAGGAAATACATATATGTATTTTAAATGAAAGTATGTTATACTTTCACATCACTTTCTCACACACCCTCTCTCAAACTGACGGTACAGAGCTCTCAGCATTTGTTGGTCAAAGACTTGTTACACTGGCTTCTGACCAAAAAAAAATCTAACCACATTTCCAGTCCTTGTGCTTTATTCAGGACTAAACTTTAAGTTCAAAAGAAGTCAATTTTTGCTGTTTACCTCCAGTTCTGGAAAGGTTCATCCAGTGACTGAAGTACATACATGCTCCAAAATCTGGAGTCTGTGATTTTTGCAGCCTGTGATCACTAGAACTTGAAGTTGTTAGGGATTTCTGAGAAAGTAGGGCTCATTGTGCCAGACATGTCATTTTTCTTAGGCATTTTTTATTACAGGATTTTAGTATGGATTTGAATTTGGTTTAGATTGTCTACTCCAATCAGCTCTGATTCTTCCCTTCATTTCACTGTGTGTCTTTGCATGAGTGCACTTGTAGTTAAATCTGCCCTTTCTCCAGCTTGATCATATTGTGCTTTCACCTTCCAAATGTAAGAATCTGCTAACCTGTACACTGAGTATTCTGGTTTCATGGAGGTTGTAGAATTGCGAGAAACTGCAATTGAACCAAATGAGCAAAGTAGCCTATTTTTTAATAGCATCAGTTGCAAGGTAAGAATCCGTACAGAGGGCAAAAAAGGGGTGCAACTTGCTGGGATTTAGCTGCTGCAATATCCAATGTTCTGATGTTTGGATGCCCAAAATCTACTGTGTCAATTAAACCTGAAATTAAAGCTATCTGAAAACTGAGAAATAAAGGTTTAGAGACCTTAATGCTTACTGGGCTTAATAAGATTATAGCAGCGAGTAACATCAACACTGCTTTTCTGTTGAGACAAAATAAGATGCTCCTCTGCTGAAAGCTGATTATTAATAGTTAGGTTCAGTATGTATAATTTGGTCTGACTCAAAAAAATTCAGAAGACATTGCATCTTTTCTAGCTGGGGCCTGGTTTGACAACCTGTGCTCAGTAATGTAGTGGAAAAAACCCATTATTTCAAATGCTCACGCTTTTCATGTGCTGCAGGATCGAGAAACAAATAAGCAGGTTCCGAGGATGGTTGCCCAAAAAGCCAATGAAACTGGACAAGGAAACACTGCCAGATCTGGAGGAGAATGACTGCTATACTGCTCCATTCAGCCAACAAAGAATCCATCAGTGAGTATTTTATTAGAATTGCAAGATGAAAACTTTTCCTTCTGGATACACTTTTGAAAAAATCAATTTCTTAGTTCATGTTTTAAAGACTATTACCTTTGTATTAGTTATTTATCACAAAAAGGGAGTTATTTATCACAGACAAGGAGTCTGCATTTCTCTTAATTAAAAGTCCAGCTCAAAGCTACAGGAAATCAACGGGAAAGTTCCTTTTAATTCACTGGAATTTCAATTATATCCCTAGAATATTCAAACAGCTATTTTCTCTCAGGTCAGAATTGCAGTTGTTCTTTTTCACTTAAACATGTGATTAAAACTTCTTTTATCAGCATTTCTATATCTTTAGCATAATCAAGATTAGTCCTTCTAGCACCGATGGTTGAAATACTGATTTGGCATTTCATTCCTAGTTATTACTGTAGAAAAAATAGAACTCTAAAGAAAACAGACAATGTTGAGTTTTTTGCATTTCACTTTTACTTTTATGGAAGCAAAACTGCTTGTGAAATGCCAGTGTTTAGACCTTTCAGTCTAAACCACAAAGAACAGGCAGCACTGACAAGGATACTAACAGAAGACACAGAATGAATGACAGGTAGCTCAAAGCCAAAATTCTGAAATATATGTTTTTATTCAGGGAGAAGCCAAGTTGATAATGTTCTAAAATGCCTCAGTTTGAATGAATATTCTTTCAGGGATTGGATGTATTAGCTGCAATAAGAATGAATAGCATAAACCTCTACCAGAAGTAGTGTCTTTCCAACAACAGAGAAACAAGAACAGGTGCAAAACTCCAGGGAAATTTCAGTAGAAGTCTGTTTGATAATTGAGCAAAAAGATGGGTCAGCTATTGTGCCCTGCAAGATGAAGAGTAGGTGCAAATTAATTTGAGAGTAGACCCATGATAAAAAAATAATAATAAATTGGGATGACAGTATTAACATTTTTATAAACAGTAATATTAACTGCTAACTTTCTGTAAAATTACTGCACATAAGAAAGCAGCTGGGTATTTTTTTTTTTTTGTGGCTGAAAGGAGAATTGACACATATGAACAAGAATATTTTTTCATTCTTCTGCCTTGCTCATGTTTGTATTTGTAAACTGGCACGAGGGATTTATTAAGTACTGTGTTAGTTTCATTAATGCTCCTGCTGTTGTTTGGCACTTCTTGTACATCACTGTAGACTTGGAAGCTTTGCTCCCCAGCAGGCACAATATTTTCTGTTTTACTTTCTGTGTGTAGTCTTCCTTTCCTTTTTTTGTGGGAACTGATAAAATATTGGCTGAGCTATCCTCCTTCTCCCAAAAGATTCTGGCTCTGACAGCATTCGTGTTCCTGTCATGCTCCAGCCTATTGGCTGCATCTGTCTTGTTTTGCTTCACTAGAATTTTGAAATACAATGACTTGTTTAATATTTGTCTAGTGGGCTGCATGCAAGTTTTAATTTTTAATCCAGAGAACTACAGTAGTGTTTTAGGAATGTGAAAATAAATAATTACTGAAATTCTTGAGATGTTGAAATTAAGAATTGACATCTACAGTAATCTTACGATAATTTAGCTTGCGTTTTGTCAGTAGTAAGAAAAGTCCATACATTTTCATATTTGGGGTAGTTAAGACTTCGTTGCCGTGCTCTTACCGTATCATATTGACATTACAACGCACTTATAATGGATGCTACATAATTGTCCCGGGCAGTTACTTATGGAGTTGGGTCAAGAATTCCTTATTTCTTTCATTCTTCATAGCTTCAGATGTTTTTCACCTCATCAAAGAACAGGCAATTTGTCTTTTGTGATGTAGCCACAGCTTTTGCATGTAGATCTCCAGTTTGATATGGGTGATGGCTATAACATGGCCTGAGTACAGTCTTCATTTGTGATAGCTGCTTTTAAAAGCATGGAAAGACACATGACCAACAATACTCACAACTCGGTGTCTAGGGAGGAAAATAGTTAAGAGTAAACCCCACAATGGCTGATCAGTCCTTTTTCAATAGGAACTAACATTTTTTAAATACTGATGTATAAGGAGGACTTGCAATTGTAGAAGATATTGATCGTCTTTTTTTTTTCTTGCATTTTTCTTTCTTGTTCAGATGCCAAAAGGCCCAATGTGGAGAAAGGTTAGCTTTCTGAAAAAGAATTGTTTGTTTTAAAAGCTAGCTGTCTATCCTCCCTCCAAAACAGACAAAGAAGAAAATACAAGATGTGCCTAAATATGTTTTGCAATGTGGCTTCAGGTTTTCTTTTACAGGGATTACGGCATGCCTTATAGAGTATATCCCAAAACTGCCAGTACAAGAGAAGCCCAAAATTCATCTTGTTTCTTAAGTAATAGGAAATCTCTTTTTGGAGGAAGGAAGTTCTGAATGGCTTCGATTTTTTTTTTTTTTTAAATTGTATGGAATACAAAATTATAATTTTCAGGATAGACTCCTAAGTAGTGTCTCTTTTCTGCAGCCACAACTTAGAAAAAGCCTTATTTATACCAAAGCATTTATTCTGAAAATTGTCAGGTTCAAGAATGCACAATATATGAAAAATATTTTCCCTCAAACATAATTAGTTGTTTTTCTACTACATCTTAGTTATTTTATGTAGTGAGCTGCTAGTCAGTTGGCAATAGTAACAGCAGCAATTAGCTGCAATTTCTTAGATAGCTGTACAGAAGCTAGGAAAATACTTTTAATTGCTGTTTAGAGATTTCATCTAAAAGCAATAAACTCTCTGGTTAAATATTAATTTAATATATAATTGAATAAACCACTTAAAATAAATATGTCTTACTTAGTGAAAATCAGATTAAAAATTTGCACAATTAGGAGGACTAGGATAGTATCTGAATTAATTAAACAAAATGGCCCTGTTTACCAGAGGTTAATGGAGTGATTCTCATTTGTACTGTGTCCTCTTGTGGTACATTAGGATCTCCTTCTGTATCTTTTTCACATTTCCAAGATATGTGTCCCTCAGGGTGGAGTTACTTTTTAAGCTTTCTCTGATGTTCAAATTGATCTTAAAAAATCCCATCTCTACTAAGATGATCTGTGCCCATATTTCCCTGAGCTACCTCACCCCAAAATCATGGATGGATCAGGGGGTTGTTGCAATTGGAGACAAGGCACAGGGACACTTACCTATTCTGAACCAGGGTGGTCATTCTTGTGTTTAAATATATCTACAGTTTAAAAACTATATGTTGATAAATGGTTTTTTATAAATGGAGAATGACAGTTCTGTAAATCCTGCTCTTAAACAAATCTTTGTGCTACCAAACATTGCCCTGCAATGGGTTTTTAAAATTATCTCTGATTCTGGAAGTTTTAATGGCCTGACAAATGAAATGAAACAGGGCATCCTTGAAAAATACAATAAATTCTTTCTATCTCAGGTGAATATTTCTGAATGAACCAATTTTTGTGATCTGGGGAAGACTGGTCTGGGGGGAAGGGCAGAGGAAAATGGAGGAGATATTCAACACTCTCTATTTTACTCTTGCACTTTTGAGGTTGTGATGTGCTAGTCTGGGAACAGAGAGAGCCACTCTGAAGACAAACTTCATCCTAAAGTGATCCTGTTTTAGGCATATAATATGAAAAATCCCTGATAACCATTAATAAACATTTCCTTTTAGATAAACAAAAGAAGTTTAAGTTAAGAATTTTAAGTTTAAAAGTTTAAGTTTAAAAGTCAAGCAAAATTCAAATAAAGAGCAAGTGTTCATAATATACCTGTTTCCAAACACATAAAGTATAGGAATGTGTGGTGATATTCTCACTGCAAAGTCAAGCAAAACTAAAATAAAAAGCAAATGCTCGTAATATACCCATTTTCAAACAAATAAAGCGCAAGAATGTGTGGTAATATTCTCACTGGAATACTGCAGGCTTATCTTGTTGCTGCTACTACAGCTGATGATTTACTTTCTCTGATGTTAAATGAGCTAAAAGCCTGCTATTGCCTCAGCCAACAGCTTTAGTGATTTACCTGGGAGTACCCAGAGTTGGGCATTTTTCCTGTGCTAAAGAACACACCACTTATACAGTGATTACTACCTTGGACAACATCTGTGCTCTTAGTTTGTACTGCCTCCAGCAGTAGACATTTTCTTGGAACACCCTCTTAGGTATGGTGAGTGTCAGACATCAAATGCTTCAGTGTCTGTGGATCCCACAGAGCAAAGATGCACACTGCTAAGTGCATGCACACATCCTCACTTTTTAGCCTTGTAACCAGACCATGGGTGGTCAGTTTTCAGCTTGTGTATCTTACCAGTACAGCAGAAAGTAGCCTTTTCCTGCCTTTTGCTTCTCAAAAATAATTTGAAAAATAAACTCACTCTTTTTTTCAAATAGGTTTTCCAATATTCAAGAGCTAAATTTGCCTTTAAAGAGTTTGTACAACCTGCAAAATTAGCAAAGAGAATGTATGAACAGGAATTCACTGGTAATTTGTTCTTGGTTGAATTTACATTAATTTGAGGCCTTTCGTCAGTTAGCTTTGCTGTGCTTTGTTATCCGTGGAAAGATAGTTTGAAGTTTCCAGTTCAGAGTCTAATTAAGAAGGCTACAAACAGTTTGAAAGTAATTAACCTTTACTGACTTTTCATGCCTCTTATGGTGTGAATGTAAGAGCAATTTTTCCACAATGACATTTTTAAAGGGACTTTAATTAAGAATCAACGGTGGCACCTTTCCTCACAGAAGTACTCTCATTATCTTCATTGGGATTTTCCTTTTGAGTAAGGACACCTCAGACAAATAAGACTTGCAGGACCAGGCTAATGGCTATAGATGTTGTGGGACAAATCACTGGCTGTATCTACCTATGCAGTAACTTCATGGGTAATAAAAATTACAGTGTATTAATCCTTACTTATTTTTTATCTTACAAACGAGGCAACAAAGAGATAAAAACCTTCTGTGAACTGTCTTATAAATCAAGTCTAAGCCCTTACTGAGCCTAAAGACAAGTTGTATTGCTCTAATGAATATTCAAATCCTTGTGCATATTGAAAATCTAACGAGGGCAGAAGAAACAGAATGGCTGAGGAAAGTGTTCCCTCTTATAGCAACAAGGGTTAAAAAACTCACTAGAAAGCCTCTGTCTCATACAGTTTATAGCTCAGTAATGTCTGAAAAATGTTTATGTGCACCTAGTTTGAAAACGTCTTCAGCTCTGGCCTCTGTGAACTGAAATTTCAAGTGTGAGATTCTTCACAGACTGAGAAAATCTTTCTATGAATTCTTTATTGGATGCTGTAGACCATGAAATAGCCTTGATAGTTATTCTGTGAATATGGATTTATCACTCACATTCAGAAATAAGCCAATCCAGAGCACAAAATTTTGGAGAAAGGAATGTCCATGGAAAGAAACGGTGGTGGTTGAAAGGGGGTAAATCCTACACTGAGCTGCCAGATTCTCACTTGACAAGAACAATTCCTCTGATTTTTGAGATAAATTGAAACTTTCCTGGCATTGGCCTAATTTATGTCAGCTTCTAACTGGGATGTTGTGACACGTAGCTACAATTACTTGAGATATTTTCAGCCTTTCAGTGCCTTTCACTCATGTTTGTCTATTTTTGTTTCCTGTGCCAGAGGTCCCTACCCCCTGGATTATGCTGATGCTGATATTTGTAAGGCTACTCTACAGACATTTTCACAGAAAATACTGACTATTTGAGTTAAGCAAATGAAAAAAAAAAAAAACCAAGATTTTTATATTCAAGAATAAGTAAGGATTATTATTATTTGAGGGTGTTATTATTTATTATTTATGACATACAATTATATCCCAAAATAATTCTATTATTTGGGAAGGGCCGGGACATCCAGAGGACTCATTTTGGCACTCCTTTTCCACCTTTGCTGAACTCTAGCATCTCTTCTTCATCCATATCTTCATGAGTAACTTTGGAAAACACTGAAGGACATGGCCTACTCTGGTCGTGGAGAGTCCTTCCTCTCCTCTCCTCTCCTCTCCTCTCCTCCTCCTGCCCTCAGATACCTTCTACTGGCACAAGACTGGGCAGGACAGAACCTCTGCAGCTCATATACTCACAGTTCTAGGATTGCTTCAGCTAGTTCTGGATTAGGCACAGTTCTTCATGGCAGTTATCATGCTGAGGTGTTTACATCTGATTCACAGCCACACGTGGTTTTTTGGTTTTGGCCATATGAGGTCAAACACAATTGCCAAGTTTACAAATGAATGAAAATGACTAAATGTTTCTTTAAACAAGTAAATTTTTTCTTTGTTTTGTTGGAGGGATTTTAAGTTTGCATAATCTTTTATTTTGGATTTGTGATTCATTAAAACAGAAGGGCCTAAATGGAAATAAAACTATGAAACAACTTCTCCAGAAAATTTGTTGAAATGGCTACCTCCACTTGCAGTATAAGATAGTCATGGTAACAGATGGGCAAAATAACCTTATATCACAAGGAGAATAGAATCATAGGATCATAGAATCAGCTGGGTTGGAAAGTACCTCTGAGATCATCAAGTCCAACCCTTGATCCACTACCACTGTGGTTACCAGACTAAGTGCCACATCCAGTCTCATCTTAAAAACCTCCAGGAATGGAGAATCCACCACTTGACACTTAGAGCAAGGTGTTCCCTGATTCCACGTTGCTAGTTTCCCAGATAAGGTGATTCAGTTTTCAGTTGAACCCTACAAGAACTCATAGCTAAGTTAGAATGACAATTACTGTGCTGTTTTGATTTTATAAATTATCTTCACGATCTTTTAAGATTCAATGCTGTCTGGGAGGTGAGATCTTAAAAAGTCAGTCAGTAAAAGAAAATCAAGGAAAGTGCAAAAATCCCTAATTGTTCATTTCTGGTTAACTACTGTCTTTTAATTTGTTTCTGCTGTTACCAAAATAGCCTAACACTGAGTTTCAGCTCCAGCTGGAAATAGTGCTGTTCTATCTGCTTCAGAGTTTGGGTTGTTTTTTTTAATATAATTTCCTTAAGCATTAAGACTTACATGATGACACTATTTCTTTTTTGTCAAAATACTTCTAATACTTATTATTTTACGTACTGGTTACTTTTAATGAAATTTGGTAAAGGTGTAGCTGCATGAAAGATTAGCACAGTCCTATCTACTTTTTGAGTAACAGCAGCTTGAAACGGAATAGCGGCCCAAAACTTGCCTGTACAGAAAAGGCTATGACCAGTGGACACCAATTGTATTTGCTGTTTGCCAGCAGCCCATGGTGGCTGGATAATATGCATAAATCAAATCACTTTCAGTAGGTACTGCAGGACACTTTGGGAATGGTAGGAATGTGGAAGGAAGCCAGAAATACAGTACTGAGTAGATTTTAGACACAAAAATGACCTGTGAGTATCTGGGGCGTAGCGGGAAAGGAGAAATGAGATAGTAACATCTAGAAAACCAGCTTTCTTTAATTCTGATGCTCTTGGAGCAACTTGTCTTTTATACTTTTACTTTGGGATTTTTTTTTACTGTCTGCCTTCAAAGTGGAACATAACAAATTTACACATTGCATTGTATTTAAAATTCAGCAGAGAATTTTGGTAATAAAGAGGGATCATGTGGAGTCCTCAAAGTTCATAAGTTGGATTCCTCACATGTTTTTTCAAATGACTGTAGAGGTGCAAATCTACATATTATTTCCCTTGGATTCATTCTGAAAAAGCAAATTTTCTTCTGGTTAATATTACCTGAGGGGAAAACTGAGCAATGTATCCAACATTGTGCAGAAGTGAAGGTGATATAAATCCATGACAAGCTCCCTATTAAGAAGATCTCTGTTAAGGTCAGATTTGTCTAGCGTGCTGTCCTTCTCTCTGACATCTCTATGATTATAACATTTTGTTGATCAGTATATTCAGTTCTGCAGCTCTTCACCAACACAGAAGAGGAAAACAACCTTGACTCCTTCCCAAAGGGTTTTTTGTTTTGGTTTGGTTTGGGTTTTGGTTTTTTTTATTGATTAATTTTCCTGGACTCAGTAAAATTCTGTCTAAACCATTGAATCTGCATTCATACATAACTGTATAAGTAGCCTCTGAAATCTAATTTTTTACTCTATTTTAGCTTCCAGGACCAAATATAGGAGTATATAATACTTTCCATTTTTAACATAGTGTTTGATTTACAGTAAGAGTGGTTTACCAAGTAGATGTTTCCATCTGACTCTTAATGGTAAAGTATAATTAAAAAGCCTGAAATATAAATCAAATGTGAATTTCTATAGCTGAGCTTACCAATGGTATGTTTTTGCAAATTTTTTGTGCAAGCATTTTATAGTTTTCTATGACTTATCTAAAAGTGATGCTTATCATGATGAATACTTAAATATCTTTAATCTTTCTTCAGACTTCTCCATGTAATTCTTTGTTAGAGAATGAATATTGTTACTGACAGTATCTCACCTGGTGAAGTGTCTCAGTCTAGTGTCTTTAACTCTCCTTGCACTTGTTCACATACTGCGGATTTTAAGTGTGCTATACAAAGTAATGGAACTAAATATTTGCCTTAAATGTGCTACTATATATTTCTGAGATGCTTTTTTTTTTTTTATTTTCATGCAGCTTCATAATACACAACAAAGATACTTTCTTCAATAATGCTACAAGAAGTAGAATTGTACACCATATCTTACAAAGGGTGAAATATGAAGAAGGGAAAAACAAAATTGGTAAGTACTGAGCAATGTGTTTTTAAACATGGGTTTTAAAAAAGAGAGGAGGAGTCTGCCTGGGCTCATAACAGACTATTTTGCTTCCTTTTCAATTGCCCCAGTTTTGAGCTGTTTACACCTCACCTACTGCTGTTGTAGGGGTTTTGCCTCTAAGATGTGATCATTTCCATGTAATTTCAGACACCTTTCACAGACACATGTTGTCTGGGATGTCATGGGATTTATCACCTCTGCAAGGGAAGACGCAGATTTAAACTGGAAATATGAACAGATTACAAGCAGTGGAGAAGCAGGATGCAGGAAAACTTTTACTCCTCCATAAACAAGTGCTTGGAAGGATGGCAAGATTTGTGCTGCTGTACATCTCAGCTAATAGGGCTTTTCCTATAGGAAGTTGTCTGCAGAAGCTCTCATATAGAGAAGACATCCTGTCTTCCATCCTTAAGAGAGAGGGAAAGTACAATATCTCTGTAGCTGCTGTAGTTCAAGCCCTCAGTGCAAAAAACCGCAGTGCATAATTGTGGCTTCACTTTCAAATAGTAAGTAGAATGGATATTTGTAGCAGCACATATGCAGGTCCAGGAGAGTGACAGAGGAGGGATGAAATACAAAACAGTGGCTGTCTTCTGTGATACAGAGCACAAGCTACTTGAGTACCACACAGGTAGTGTGGGATGCCAAATGTAGAGGCAATCCCCGTAAAAGTCTGCAGCCTATTTCATTTCCCTGCTGTCTAAACCTCACCTTTCCTGAAGAGGATGAGAAATACCTCAGAATTTAACTTTTTTCTTTCTTTCTCAGCCCCTGGGATGAGGGCATCAATAGCTTAAGCAGAGCAGTCATTGCGTCTAGTACACACACTTGCAGTCCCTGCCTACCTCAAGATCCCAATCTCCCTCACATATCAACTTATGTTATACCTATAGTGAATACAACCTTGCAGTGATCATTGGGCAGAGCAAAGCCCAGCTTGGCTGTACAGATTTTGCTTTTCTGCTAGAGACATTACGAGAAAGCATATTCTGCCAGGCAACTACTGATGCTACCACTGAAAGTGGTAATCATATTGAATTAATATGTCTCATTGCTGTGTTCTTGCTGCTATCAGTCCTCTGTGAATTAGGAGAGGAATCAAGACTTTATCCCTCTTGGTCAATAGGGTTCAAATGCCATCAGGTTGTTAGTCTCAGTATTTTCTTTTGCATTGCTGGTAACTCTTCAACCTTATTTTGGTGAGTTTTCAACTGAAAAGCACCCATATCTCAGCAAACATTATTATTTAAGGCTCTCACTAAAGAGGGAAAAAGCCTGAGTGAGTGAGGTGTACGATTACTTCATGTTTGTTTTCTGATCTTGTAGTGCTGCAGCCTGTCTTCTTCCTGTTCTGTTTGTCCAGCAGCTTTCATAAGACATAAATAGAACATATTTTAGAAAGTTGTTATCATATGGAAATTCAGAGTTTCAGTTGCTTTAGTGGGCTGCAGTTTAAAAACGTTAAGATCTTCCCTGAAGTTTTCAGCTCCTAAGATATGCAGCTTTTCATCTAAATAGCTTTCCTAGACCATATTTTAAGAGGTCAAACTTCAATCCTGCTGCGAGATTTCCGATTTCACTGAAGTTACACTAAAGGTGGATATGGAAAATGAATCTTTAAACCTCTAGCATAATACATGGTAGATTCTGATTAATATTTGAACAAGTTTTTGCTGGTATTATATCTTAGTTATCAAAATCTATAAAAGAATAATTTTTCTACATGTTTCTTATACTGTCGATGGACTTCAATCTTCATTTAGCCAGTTATTATGGAAATGTGTTTCGTCTTTTACCTACCATTTTTTCTCCTCCTATTGGTAAATAATTGAATACTTTTGACTCTTAGGTCTGAATCGATTGCTCAGTAATGGCTCCTATGAAGCTGCATTTCCTCTTCATGAGGTATTTTTCTCACTTTGTTTTTATTTGTTTGTTTGTTTTTTAAACAGACATTTTGCACAAATTTAATCCTAATTCTATAAACATTTCTTTTCAATCTTATTAATGTTATTACTCTCTTACATTCCATGTCTACCTCTAACATACCTCCCATTTAGCAATGCTTTTTCCTTGAGAAAAAAACTGGCAGGAGTTTCTTGTAGAAAGATATGAGTAAGTAGAGTTGTTCTGGATCTATTCTGTAAAAAGTATTTGAGTTGATAAATCAGTATATTTTCAGAGGGTAAAAAATATCATGCTCTGTTTTGGGGTGGGTTTTTTTTGAGATTCTGCAGTTTACAGTCTTTGACTTGAATACTATTTATCGTAAATTTCTTAGGAAAAATAATCTCAAATCTTAGTGAAGTCAGATGGTATATTTTTTTAATGTCATGTTTAGCTTTCAGAGTATAAATATGGAGTTTACATATATTGTGTTATCCATACTGATAGTAAGAGAGATTTCATAAATATTCTTTTTTTGCTGCTGTTGTTCATTAATGTCCAGATTTGTATTTTAGGGAAGTTACAGAAGTAAGAATTCGATAAAAACCCATGGGGCAGAAAACCACAGACACTTGCTCTATGAGTGCTGGGCTTCCTGGGGAGTGTGGTATAAATACCAGCCTCTGGATCTTGTAAGGTAGGACTTACCTACTTTTACTTTGTCACATTGTAGGTGCTTTGAGAATAGGTTATTTCGCTTCTGACAAAACTGTGAAGAGCTCAATTAATCCATGTGATTTTTAAAATCTGATCCTGAGGACATGGAGCTCCATTTAGTTCATTGTGCCATACATCCAAAGAAATATCTATACAGGAATTTGTAGGAGGGCCCAAAAGTGAAGGGAGTTTCCTTCTAGAGTTTCCTGATGTCATAACTTCTAACGAACAGTTTGCAAAATATTTGAGAGAAAAATATGAAGAGAGAAATCTGTGGAGGCTGGATATACTTGATAAAATATATATCTACCAGAGGAGTTCTTCATCCTCAGAGCATGGCTTTGGTGAAAAACAGGCTCTCATTGACTAAAACTTCTTTTTCCGAAAATGCAACCACAGAATAGGTCCTGGATGAAGTTTCTCCATGCTTAGAAATGGCACAGAGCAGAGCTTACTGTCACTGAGTGTACTACTGCGTTCAGCAACACTAGCGGTGCCTTCTCTGTGCCACCGCTCTTCAACTCAGACCAGCTACATCATCACTGTCCAGATTTGTATTCATTTTGGAAGTAGTCTACAAATTAAAATACACTGAAAAAGCTGAAATGTGATTCCAAATTCTTACATCCCTTTTAAATAACCTTTTCAAATAGGCTTTGATGCACTAATAGAGGATTACATATTTTTTATGCATATATAGGGAGCCAAAGCCTTTACTGATCATATTGGCAGAAGTATTATTGGGTATTAAAGGGATTCTTCTACTTGAAGAAAGAAATATGGAGCTACAACGGCCTATTAATAAAGTCTTCAGATGTACCAGGACTACTAAAGACATTGATGCAATGGCTGTCAGGAAGGGTCATCCAGGGCATGCAGTCAGGCCAGCATATTAATTTCCCCTTTTGTAAGTCCTGTATCTGATAGAAACCTTTGCTTTTACTTATTCTCAAAATTGTTTCCAGATGAAAGATTTGTAGACGGTGGCCCTCAAGATAGACAGTGTTGCTGATTAAGGCTATATAAAACCTATCCATTTCATGAAACACAGGGTTTTCAATTTCTATGCATAAAAAGTTCACAGAGAAATACAAAAAAAGTTTTACCGAGTCATGTAATTTTTTTAATGCTTTACAAAATAATGTATTAGACCTCATAATTTAGTCCTAAAAGCTTCTTATTTCTTTTTTAATACATTGAGCTCATAAATAGAAATAGAGAATTTCTGTCAAATTACATAATGAAATTTCTGATTTATGGAGGAGCCAACAATTATACTAAAGGGGTTTTTTTTGCTTGTAATTCTCTGGTATACAATAAGGTATTAATATCACCATATAAAAAACTTATCTCTGTAGTGTTTTTTAATGATTTGTCCACTGTGGTCAAGGCTACTGTTCTTCATCAACATTTCTTTTCTCGTGAAAATGCTGTTGAGGCAACATCTTGTGTTTGGATTAATTTGCTGATCTGGTATCTGAAAGGGGCTTTTAAGTATGGCAGTAATAGTAACAGAATGAGCAAAGTTAGAAACATTCTAACATTCTAAGTTCCGGAGCTTGATAGCAGCCTTCTTGAATAGCTTGGGTTTAAAATTTAAGATTTTTCAAGAAGCTTTAGATTTTCATCTAACAGTTTTTCCAAATCTACTTTACAATAAATAAAAAAAAAAAAAGGCAATTGAAAGAGCAGACCCACTAGCTGAGGCCATGAGTGTACTGTCATTGTTCAGAGTACGTGTTTAGCCAAAGAAGAGAGGGTCAGGGGGAGTTTTGAGGTTCCCTGAGCACTGACAGCAGCCCGAGTCTTGCAAGTCATCAAACTCAGCAGGGTTCAAGGTTGCAGCCCCAGCACAGCTTGCCATTTGCTGCTGGAACACATCCACAGCTGTGATGAATTCACTGAAGGAGGGGTGACAAGAAAGGGAAGGGAATTCCTTTTTCTTCTCACTTCACAGATGCTGGATTACTCCAATTTCCTTAGCTCCTGCCAAGTCTTCGAATCCTCTGAAAATTCAGCAGGAGTTAAGGAAATGCAAGTAATCCAGCATCCGTGAATGAATTTTTCATGTCTACTGCCACTCCCAGCAGTTCACATGTCTATTGAGCTGGAGATTTTTTCTTGAAGAACTGAAAACACCAGCAAGACCAGCAAGTTGTTCATTTCACTTGGCAACATCTCAGCAGGCATACTTTAAACAGAAGGGGTTTTTTCAGTACCAGTTCTACAGCAGCAGTAACTTCTTTTTTTCCCTCATAACAACAGCTATGTGGTGCTGTGCTTGAAGGGTACAGTGTTGTCATCTGTACAAAAGGAGTGGATGGATTTTGATTCTTCCACAGACACCTGGCCAGAACTTACGCCTCCAGTTGACATTATGCTTTAGAAAGGCTAAGGAGTAAATTAGATGTAGAATAGTATAATTATCACATTACTAGATATGATATTTCTACCTCAAAGTCAAGTTGCCACAATGGTAAGCAAAATTTTTCATACTTCTGTGCTATTTTATTTTCCTTAGATGTTAAAATGAGGTTTCCATCTCCTGTGCTGTCCATGTGGTGAATCTCAGATTTCATTTAATCTCCTGAGCTGGCTGTTATGGAGGTACTAGTCACTAGAAATAAACGAGAAAAAGAAATTGAGGGGAATTGCATGATCTTGTTTTCACTCTTCTTTGAAACATGTGGCAATATGAAGAAACAGACTTGGCATAATTTGCAAAGCCACTCTTATTAATCAACAGATGTAGTACTATGATTTTAATTATACTTCTCTTGGAATTTAGTATTCATGATTAGATTACGAGAATATTTTAAGACCCTTAGAACTGATAATAATTGGAAAGAAACAAAATTTATTGTATTTATATGCTCTGAGACCATGTAAATCAGTGGAAACAGTTGCAGTGATTCCTGGGGGCTTTAGATCAGCCCCTTCACACTTCTGTGTATAGCTGCTTCCCTCTAGATTGTGCACAAATTTCTCCTGCTGCTGCTTGTGCATGTTATTTACAGGACAAAAAGGGAGGAAGAAAACTATATTTTAAAGTGATTGTAAAGCTACCAAAATGAACCTGAAAACACAACTAATGCCTCAGTAACTTGAATTTTGATCCATGTTTACATTAAATGTCTTGATCTCAAGCTAACCACTCCCTTTCAATTTCCTGTCAAGCCTTTCTCCGCACCTAATTGCTCCTCACATGACAGCTTCATATGTCCAAAACACTTGCTGGAGATCTCTAGTTTCTGTGATGTAGAAAATTCTGTACTGGATTTCATTCTGACCTGCAAAAGGGTTAATGAAAATAGATAGGTTCTTGGCCTGAGCCCAAACCTGTTTATTTCTAGATCCATGACTTCCTTCCAAGCATCCTGAAAGCAAAATATTCTATAATGAAGGTCATTGACCACAGAATAATCCAACATCACATTCCATAAGTCTGAAATTAGACTTTGAAGCTTAATATTATCATTATTATATTAATATTATTATTATATTATCAAAAATGTGCCTTACTGATAAATACTAAGATTGAAATCTTGGCCCAGTTAAGTCATAGTTCTACCATTGGAATGGGGTGAGAGGATAGACAGTTCACCATTAAGGGAAGCAGTATAGATGGGCTAGTGTACAGGCTAGCATACAACTGAGAAACTGACATTATTTTCTTATTATTAGTTTAAAGGTCAGTATATATAGGAATAGGAGAGATGGATTATTCTATTAGGTGCTTGGGTGTTTTTCCGGTGTCTTTTCTTTTTCGATTAGTTATTGAGAAAATACGGGGTTTTTTCTGTCCTCATTAATAATCTGAAAAATCGGATAGTAATAAATTAGGAAAGTTACAAGAATGCAAGAATGTTGGAAAAGAAGAATGCTGGAAAAGTTCGAAGAGGCCTTCAAATAGGCAGAGTGAAATTTAGGTGTAAGTAATTCACAATGATGCACTCTAGAAAAAAATCTCCGGAATTCTTCCTCTACATTGCTGAGCTCTGGTCCAAAGAGAATTGCCATCACTTCGGGAAGCTGTATGAAATTTCTGTTCTTTATATAGTGACAGAGAAGAAACAAAGAGCTAGTTATTCATGCAAATGTTTGGGGCATATTGAAGGGAAAGAACAGCAAAGATATCTCTAAACCATTTACACCTCCTAAGGGTCATGAAGGTCCAGGCTAGCTGAATTACATGTTGAAATAAATGTGGAACGGCTCTGAACATGGCATTTACAAAGGTCTCCAAAGACCTTCTTACTGCCATAGTTTGTTTCTATAGCACTTAACACAGTGGTATCTGAGAAGAGACTAAAAGGAAAAATATGCTAACGATGGGGCCAAAAGACCTGCAGTATTAACTTGATCCTGATGGAAATTACAGTAGTACAACCTGTGGAGTACCAGCTGTATTGCAAAGGGCAATAGTGGAACATCAAGGCTGTTTGTCCACATTTAAACCAATATGTATCAAAGTAATGTCAACATCCTTCACTCATTTTTCAAACCAGGCTCAGATGCCTTTTCCTTACTTTGCAGAGATGGGTTACTCCCCATCATGGCCATTCTTCTTTATGCACAAACTGAACCTTCCTTGAGTGTTCATCTAGTATTAAGCTGTTTGATCCTTAGATCAAGTAGAATGGTATGATTTGCACCATTAGACTGAAGGGCTCAACAGGATAGAAGATGAATTTTGTCATGAGTATTTGTCAGCTAGGGCTTTGGAACGAGGAAGCACTCATCTTTGAGTGTAGGGAATGAAATAAAAAAATAAAGCTTGATGAAGGTCAAGTTTATTTCACTATTTTGAACTATGTACGTGGAGAAAAAGAAGTCATAAATATTCAGTAGAAGTAAGCTCATAATGTGAGCTTTCTTTTTCAGAGGAGCAGGCACAGCTTGACATCCTAAGTGTCAGGAAAACAATTAGGCCAAAGGTTTCAATAATGTTCTAAAGTCAGGGCTCAAAAAGCAGTTTCCAGTGTGTTTTTTTACAATCAGATCTGCTGCCCTTGTCAGAACTGAGCATGTTATGGTTAGCTTATCCTCTCTTTAGCCCATAAATTTGAATCTCTGTGGAAAGGCAGAAGAATAAAAACAACATGACGATATTTGGCTTCTTACACAGAGCTGGTAAACTCAAATGAAAACAGTCATAGAGGTCAGTCTCACTCAACAGACTATGAGCTCAGCCCACACAGCTATTTCTCACACTAGAAATTTTTAATAACCATTTGAAAGCTGTTATTTTTGTACAGTCAAGACCAGGTGCCCTCATCTCCAGTGTACCCAGCTCTAGAACCGTCACAGGTCTCTCCACTCTCACTGCAAAAGTTTGGCCGAAGATGTTTTCTGGTAGCATAGAGGAGCCAGCAGTACTGACTCCATTTGTCTCTGAAGAGATCAGAAGTTGCATCACTAGCGAGAAAGTGTGTTTTCAGCAGCAGGTATTTTCCAGTTTGGTGGATATGCAAGTTTAAGTTGTCCTCAATGTCTCTGAAACACAAGCGTACTATCTTGCTTTCATTCTTTAAAACTAATCTTGCAAATAATATCCTAAAATCTCAGCCTACTGCGCACAAGGCATCAGACACAGAGCAATACATGAACCTGCTCCTATGCTGGTGAGTTCAGCAGGTTTTTTGTGTGCTTGATGTTTAACACATAAATAAAGGTTGGGGGAGGGGGAAGGAAAAGTGCTGAAGAACGTGTGGTAAAAAGAAGTTTTCTGACCACTTTGCTGCTAGTTTTTCAGCAAGGTATCTAATAAATTAGGATTAATTCAGACTACTTTCCTCAAATCAATGCAAAATTATGAACCTCACTTGCACTTCACTTTCTACCTGTGGTAGAATCACTAAGCTAGTTTTCCAGGAACTGATCTAAGACAAGAAACAATCAAATGAAAATAAATTGTATTGAAGAATTAACTCTGGTTAATTAATTTCTCATCTCAAATAATTTTTGCTGTTATACCAGCATACTGATTTCAGTGAAATTATTTAGGTAGTACACTTACATGGCTAAAAGGCAAAGCAAATCATCAATTTCCCACATAAAAAAACTTAACTTTTTAAAAGTGTTTCCTTTAAGAGATCTCCACTCATCTAACTGTAAACTGTGGTCAGTGAATTTTTAAGTTCATATTTTAAGTTCATTCATAAGTCAGGTCCCTCAGTGTGGATTTAGAAGCCTCAAAGGGTTTTTCTTCAGGAAATTCTGACTGCTTTCTAATCTACTCTTCAGATATGATGGAAAGATTTATTTTCTACAAATGAACAAGATTAAGCAGATTTATTGTAATTAGCAGGTAAATTTGCTGTGTTGTGTTTTAAAACAGGCGGTACTTTGGTGAGAAAATTGGACTGTACTTTGCCTGGTTAGGCTGGTACACGGGAATGCTCTTCCCAGCTGCCTTCATTGGATTGTTTGTCTTTTTGTACGGAGTCACCACTTTGAACCACTGCCAAGTCAGGTAACAGGGGAACTTTTATAAGGAAATTACAGCTGTGGGTTATTATGAATAATTTAACAGAAATTGCCATCAGTTGTTAATTATTTTATTTTGAACTGTTGAATGAACAACCAGAAAACACTGCTTGGTTCTCAGAGGGCACCCACTATCAAACTTCCTCTCTTTTTTGCTCCTGAATGGGGATGAGAGGAAATGCTTGCCCATTTCCAGTTGCTGATGGTGTTGGCACCTCAGCATGTAGTAGGGAAAAAGCTGGGCTCTTCATTACTTTTGAAACAGGCCAGCAGAAGAGTGAGGAATTTTCACCCTCTTTAAGGCCTTTTGCAATGAAGAAAACCCAGCACTTTCTGCTGAGTGCTTCATCTCTAAATTCTTACGCATTTAAGACAAGTCACAAGAATAAGTCAAACTGAACTTTATCTGCAATTATCCTCACCCTCCTTCACTCTAAGTCAAGGAGAAACTGGAAATGGTAAAGACATGCTGCCAGGTTGTTCCTGAGGAACTGTACTCCGCAGTTATGACTGTAGACTCTGCAGTCTTAGACAGTCAACAAATATTAATTATACACATGCAATTATGAATATTTTGGCTTCAGTTACAGACTAGTTTGGTTCAACAAGTAACTGAATATTAGTTAACCCTATCAATCCATTTTAAGACATCATTCTGCAGGTTGTTGTAGTAATCAAGCTATTAATTTTTGTCTTTTCTGTTTTTCCAGTAAAGAAGTCTGTCAAGCTACAGATATCATAATGTGTCCTATATGTGATAAATACTGCCCCTTTATGAGGTTGTCAGACAGCTGCATTTATGCCAAGGTATGTTTTAGACTATGCAAATAGAAATGCTTTCCTGGTAATAGAATTAATTTTGCCTTTTGCATTTGTCTTTTGTAAGCTTGAGTAGATAAAATCTTGAAGGACAGATCAAGTTCAACCAACATTAACATTGCCTTTCACCAATACTTATTTTGGGTTGTAAAACACTTGAATGCAATTTGCACTTACAGATTCAGCAATCTCAGAGATCATGTCCTAGATGCACATGCTACAGTGTCATTGACATCAGCCTTTATCTTCCGACCCATCCTCTGTTGGATGAATGCTTTGGGTCTGAAATGCTGCTCACACTTGGTGTTGGCAGGGGTCAATCCCAGGCCACGTTGGCAAATAGTCCTGTCAACTGACAGGTGCATTTCCCATGTCAAGGGAAGGATCCTCAGGATTGTCAGGCCAGCTATGCTCACGGTGCCATTAATGTTATTAGGTGGAAACAGAAAAGAAAGTCTTATTATCACAAATTGACTACACTATTAACATATCTCTCAGGTTACCCACCTTTTTGACAATGGAGCTACTGTCTTTTTTGCTGTTTTCATGGCTGTGTGGGGTAAGTTTTCATTTTGATTTTAAAGATTTATTATTAAAGTTTCTTAAAGATTGTGATGCAACATATACCTTTTTATTTTCCAGCACACGTTTTTCAGACACTGAGAAAACCAGTATAGGTTTGAGTCTTTTCTATTTCCGCAAAAGAAAGATGGAATTTGTAGAATCAGGTTTTTATATGATAATAATTTTAATTAAAATAGAAACCTGAATTCAGTATGTAGATTTTATATATATGTGTGTATATATAGATGCATATATTACATTCTAACTTTTTTAATCCACTGATACTGAAGCCTTTTCTGTTATTGTTCAGGGCTTTTCTTAGCTTAGGGCAGGTCAGTTTAGCGTTAGTATTAAAATGAAGTAATGTATTGTTTCCCCACCTTGCAGAAAGGCAGCAAAGGTTGCAGTTAAATCAGAACTCAGATTAAATAAATGGAAGATTTCATTGAATGGCAAATTGATCTGAGAGTGGTCTAACTGTTGCCATGGAGGCTGAATTTTGCCCATAGAACAGTTCTATTTCTGGCTCAACTATTTTTCCTACTATGATAATGTAGGCAGAATTGAAGGCAAGAGGAAACAGTAATTTTTGGCAGCACAAGCCGCCCTAAGAATGTCCAGCCTCTTAGGTGCTACCATGCCATTTTGAGATAAGGTTAATGACTTCAGAAAATGGCTTCAGAAAATGGCTCAGTGAGATAACACAAAAATGGCATCCATCTCACAGCTCCAAGTGCTTGAGTTATCCTGATTTGCAGTTATACTGATTTGCCATCTTTCTCCTGTTTTCACTCACACATCTCCAACTGCTTTGGAAAGGTGTCCAAGTAATTCTTCTAGTCTCCATTTTAAACTGCAAGTCTCTTTACTGAACCACAAGAAATATGTGAGAGGCAACATGGGAGCCACTAGGACAACACAGATTAGCCTACCAGTCCGTCTCAGTTCCTTCTTCTAAACTCCCATTCTGTCTTAGTTAACCAATTAAATTAGGTCAATACAAGGGCTGCCTGAAACAATCCCTCAGCCTTGACCATATTGATCACCACCCTGGCCTCCAATTGAGAGGCCTGGAGACAACACCATCTATAACACTGCTGCTGCTTTTGAGAACACACACAGGATCACCCTCAAGGAGAAAAGACAGCACAGAAAGAATCACATCTCGTTGATATCACCTGGGGAGTCTTTCTGCTGTGCCTTCTGCAACCGGACTTGTCTATCTCACATTGGCCTTTTTAGCCATCAGCATGCTTGCAGCAAGCGTGGGTAGAGCCCTTCTCAAATCTTCTTTCACAAAACCTAGCCATGATGATGAAATTAGGTCATAAACCAATCAAGCCTGTTCATGTCTTTTCATGTAAAATTGACAGTGTTAAAATATCACAAATTACATTTAGAATAAAATCCACAGATCATACAGATTTTATGTTTCTGCTTGATATTTCAGCTTTGTTTTAACACTACACCAGAACTGAGAACCACTAAAAATTTCTAAGACTTAAAGGTTATTATAGGTGTTTACTCAGCTTTTCTGAACTCTTTCTCTATGTGTTCACTGAAGTGTAGAGACATGGACTTTCATCTCATCCGGGGAAACTGATGGTTTAATACTTGAACATTTACATCACTGCTCCTTGCTGCTGGTGAGCATGTATTTGGAGTGCTGCTTTTTGCACTAATGCTTTTCTTCCTCCTTAACAATAACACTGATTTCAAAAAGCAGCTGTGCTTGCAGCATGGCATCTGTGTCTTAGCACTGCTCAGACCCAGGGCTGTAGGAAAAGTACCTCTACATAAGGGGAGTCCCTCACTCAGGTAACCATGCCTGGTCCTACCTTGTGGTCGCTGCCTTTGAGAAGGCTGAGGAGGCTGAAAATGCCTGCCTACAAAATATTGTAGGTCCTCTCTCCTCCGTGTCTCTAGTTGACAGAAGCTGCATCTTTGCCTGGTTAGCCTCTCCTTCATCCCCCTACTTCAGCATCACTGTCAGACTCCCAGACTCGCTTTCCTCTGGGAATATCTCCACACCAGCCTGCCAGGACTGAGAAATGCACTGCCCATCCACTGCAGTCCACAGTGAGATAAGTAAAAAAAATACAAAAAAAGCTGCCCTCTGGATGATTTGGCTACTGAAGAAGAGACTATAGGACAGCAGCTGAGGGTGAGAGCTTTCCCCATCACTTTTGTTGGCTTACACTGTGCTTGTGAGTTTGCCGCCTAGAGGGTGGTAGGAACAGCAACAGGAAGGAGATGTGAGTGTGGGGTATGGTTTGGGGAACAGGGCAATCCTATGGCTCCACCCAAATCATAGTTTCTTAAAGAAGACAGACACTGTTGCAAAGGCAACAGTGAGATTGTGGAGATATTTTCTATGCAGATAGGACTAAAGCAGCTTTAGAATAAAAAAAGTCACTCTTTCCAGGGATTTTCTGACACTATATTTAGGAGTTGGCTTACTGCCTGTGTTAATGGGTTTCCAGTCTGCAGTAGGCCTGTTGGCATCTGCAGGAATTGCCATCATTGCAGTAAATCATAGGGGGAGAGAAGAAACAGTGATACCGATTTGATTGTGGAAATGTTTTTTTCTGTCAGCATGAAACAGCTGGCAAGTGCCTGAAATATTGACTGTGAAAAGTTCAGCCTTACAGATGATCCAAGTTGATAGACATTAACATACAAAATAATGATGGCAGTGCTTTTATAAAAAGAGAATGAAAGGAAAAAAAGGCAGCTAGAACTGTGTTACCTCTTTAGCTGGAGTTTTTAGACACTGTCATTATTATGTACTTTCTGCACTGTCTTTATATCCATTAGCAAGTTCCCATCTTGAGGGAGAAGCCTCAGCCATTCGCTTGGGTTTTTCAAAACCAGATGCGGTCAGATTGATCTTTCCCTGAAGAGGTGATCTGTATGGTGCTTTCCTCCTTTTACTCTGAAGACATCTTTATTTGATGGACAAAATGCCTTGCTGACACTTTAAAAATAAATAAAATTCTTCACCAAATGACAAGCAAACTGCTGTGGCCAGGCTAGGGAGAGGAACTACCACTGCAAACACCAGCAGAGACCACTTGATTTGTGGACCAGCAATGAACCTGACTGTAGGACTCTGAATCATATTGTAGGACAATGAAGCACATGCTTCATTGTGAGATAAGTGAGTCCCATCAAGGACTGTAATTTTCAAGTGCACCAGGAATACTGGAATAGAAGCACACTTTTCTTCAAAATATATATGACCCATCGCCTCATTTGATTTCTGCCTGTGTAAGCACAGTTCTATATAAGTAAAAGTAATTGATGCAACAGAAAAAAATATGATAGTTACTAAAGTATACCTGAAAGCCATATGACTTAAGACAATTTTCATTTTAAGCTGATGTAGCAAAGGATAAAAAAGGTAGACTTCCTTCAGTACACTTAAAGAATTCACTGGTAGTTTGTATAAGCTTTTCTATATTGAAACTTCTGTTGAAAGGAAATACCCTTTCAATCAAATTGAAGCCATAAATCTCTGTAGTTCATAGGAAAAAATAAGTCCCTATAAAGACTAATACTTTTTTAATTTTATTTTTTATTGCTGAACAGATTGTCATTGATGCTTACTGAGATGTCACCATCTCAGAAGATAGAAAATTATTTTTTTTCTTCTGAGAATCTCTAGTGTTGATGATATTTTCCAGATGTTCAAAGCTTTCAGAAAGAGGGGAGTAATAGCATATTTTGTGCATATGGGTTAGGGGAAACACCCACACTTTGTCCTTTATGTATGCCTTAAGGTTTGTTGGGCTCAGTGAAAAGGTTGGTCCCATTTCTAGGAAAAACTTCTCTCTTTTTACAGTCTACATTAGATTCTTACCGAAGACAGAAAAGGAAAGGACGATGTTAATTCAAAATAAATGTTGACATTTAAAGTGCAGTAAAAAGTAATTCTCATTTAAAAAATGGTTAAATTTGATACTCAGTTGACTCCCAGCATGTTTCTGTAAAGCCAGATAGAATTGTAGGTTTTACTTTTCCAACTGAGATACTAGGGAAACCTATTGCAAAGATGTTACTGTCAAGATGTTTCCTGAAGCTCAGTAGCAAAGTTCTGTAACTGTTCCACAGGAAAGTCCAGCAATTTATCATTTATAATGCATTGTTAGAGATAAAGTGGGCTACTTGTACTTTCTCTATCTCTGCATATCTTTGGGGGACTAAGGCACACAAGAAAAATCCTTTTTGAAATTTCTTCTTGTCTAGCTAGAAGCATGTTTCCTTTGATAAAGGAAGTAGCTTTGAACACTTGCTGAAAGGTAAAGCCAGGGGGAAAAAAAAAGGCCTGGCACAAAGAATTTAACATTTTGTGCAAGTAATAAGAAATGCCAACATAAAACAATTTTTCTAAATTTATCAGTTAGTCTAATAAAAGATATTACTTTCCTACAAACCTTGCCTCTAGCATAAAATGTTCACATTGATCTGCTCTCTGAGGAGATAGAATTTAAGGATGCTCTTTACCAATACTCCTGCTATATAGAATATATTCAAGGAGTCAGGATGGAATATTAAATAGTGTTCTGAAATACAATAGGGAGAGGATTTCTCAGAGAAGGTCAGGATAAAGCTATTTGCTGAGAGAGACCATTTGCATTACTAGACAAGATCACAACTTATTACAGAAGCATCTGAGGAAGTGATGTTAAGACAGATGTTTGTACAAGTGGATTTAAGAACTCAGTTGCAAGGTTGAGCTCTGAAGTAAGATAAGCACAGTATAGAAATAGCTAGCAAAAAATCCAGAAGCTAAGGCAAATGAGAAAGGCAAAATTCCAAACAGGACATTTACATAATACTCAGCATCTGGTCTAAACATACCAATTGGAAAATAGGGGGACAATAAGTACAACTGTGTCCCGTTGAATGTTAAAGTCAAAAAAGAATGCTGAAATTACTAGAAGGTATTAGTAATTACTTGACCAAAAAAGAAATTTCAAAGTACAGTATGTTAACTTTTAGAAGACCTCAGTAGCACAGTAAATCAATCAAAGATGGTTATTTATAGCAAATTTTAAACTATCTAGCAAGGGAAAAATGCATACTGACCTGGATAGAGGGAGAAAAGTGTAACAGTGAAAGCTAAAACAGTGCTGTACAGATCATCCTATTTGCTACTTAATGATTAGAAGAAAATAGCTTTCTAAAGAAGCTCTAAGGACTGAAACATACTTACTCTGACAGGTGCTAAATTTGCTAAATATAATATGTATAGATTCCTCATTCCAGGTGTGTGAAAAAACAAGAAAAGAAATATTGTTCAGCACAGACATCTGAGAGGTTCATGCCTGCGACTCATATGCCCACTGGATTCCTGCTAGCAGCTGTTTTTTGGAATGAAAACAGAGTGGTAGTAATCAGGTTTCTTTCTCCCAGGTCTTCAAAAATTGCAGCACTACTTGTTTAACCTGTACAAAATAATTCAATATGAGCTGATAGAAGAGAAGCAGCCCTACCAGAAAAAAATCAAGGAATGAACCATGCAGTGGTTCAGCAGCAGTGGAGCCTCATTAGCACCTACTAGTTTTCCTGATCACAACCAATCATACCATAATTATTACAGAAATTTATAGAAACATTAGGCTCATTAATTTTATTAGATTAAATCAACTCAGCTGGTTAGTTGGTTAGAGCATGGTTCTAATAACACCAAAGTTGTGGGTTTGATCCCCATATGAGTCATTCACTTAAGAGTTGGACTTGATGATCCTTGTGGGTCCCTTCCAACTCAGAATATTCTGTGAAATCTGTGACCTGGTGTAACGTAATTCCAGCTCTCAGAAAAAGAATGACGTGACATAGGAAAATACCTTTAGCCCAAATATCTGCCCCCTTAAACATGCTTTTGATACCTTACATTATCTGCTCATAGTGTTAACTTTCTAAGCATATCTTAGCTGCATTGGCTAGTACAATAAAATATAATTCTTACTGGCTAAAAATTCACTTTTGCCAAACTGATGCCAGTGTTTTGTATCAAGTTACATTTGTATCAATAAGCAGTAGGGCAGACAGACTGTTAAGGAGATGCTTTTAGAACGGGATGTGGAACATATTGCCAGACTATTGTGACAGTGTTACAGCTGATACCGTGCTACCTTGTGAACAAAGAGGTTGATGTTCTCTGTGGTTGTCAGCCTGCTGCTTTTCAATGAACAGTAAAGGAAAGAGCCAAACTTCACAGTGGGAGAGGAAGTCTGTCCATTGATTTGTACTGGCTTTAGGCAGCCTCTACATTCTTTTTGCAAAGTAAATTTTAAAAACCCTTTAACTATAAACAGACTCAGTATTAATCTTCAGACTATGTGCCTATTATTTTATTACCGTTTTCTTGATTGTTCTTTCCACCACAAAATGGAAGCATAGTTGTCAAATAAAAAGGGGGATTTCCTCAAATCCTTAGTGTTTGATTGGTCTGTCAGTGCTGCAAGGAAGACAAGACCCCTGTGCCCCATCAGTCTGTCAACATCCTGTTATGGTTGACTAACTTGTTTAGGGGCACACGCCAACAGCATAAGAGAGACCCCCTCCCAGATCTTCACACTTTTGGCTGAATATGTTCCCCACTGCTGGCAACTGCTAACGACCTTGAAGGACTCATTAACAATTTAGGGGATAACACTCTTTATTAATGTACACACTGATAATAGAAAATTGTGATAGGTTAAAGTTTGAAGACTGATGATGATAGTATCTGACTGCAAAAACATATTCAAGGCAATGTACAGACAAGCTCTAATCACCAATGAAATGTAGCTTGAGAGGATCAGAGAACATAGGATGTTCTTACCCAATACGTATCCCTGTGGGGGGAGAAGACAGGTTCAGACCATCGACCGATTCCAGAAATTATAATGGAGTCTTCTCTAAATTTCCCTAATTCTTAATTTACTTTTATACTATTTCTTCACATTTATGTGGAGCTGTAGTGACTCTATTGATATTATACATTTGTAACTTATTGGTGTCAAATTCTCTCACTTCTCTTTTAAATATATAGTCAATAAAATATAGCGCACATGCTCCATGTGGGGTGGTCATACCTTGGAGGTGGATAACTTGGGGATGGAGGGGTTTGTTATTATTGGTTAGATTATAATGAACCAAGTTCATCCAAAGAGAGTGATTTCACCACAGTTGCTGGTTCAGCAGCAGGGCATCTTCTCCTGACTCCTTTGGCTGACAGCTGCTATGGGTTTTATCTGCAAGGTACCATCGAGATCCCCTGCCTGCAAGGCTTACACCAGAGCCTGATCGCATTCCACTCCACCTTCTCTTCCATCCCCTCTAGCATGTGCTTAAGGTTGCAGATTATGTGTGTGTGGGGAGTACTCATGGAATAGGTTTCGGGCATACTGACAATATTTCATTCAGGGAGTAGCAAATGCATTTCACCTTATAATTACCCTACCATTCTAACTTCTGTTAGAACGGGAATATAACTTCCCAGTCCTCTAGTTTTACTCCCAGTCATTTTCCCACAGCAGTTGTGTGCAGGCCTATTACTCTACCTTGAACTCTATCAATAAGGGCTGTAAAGCACAATGTCTAATTGTCAGATGTTAATGCCACACCACATATATGAACTTACATAGTGTAAAAAATGGTCTGGATTAGAACAGTGTAAAACAGAAGTTCCCATTTCCTCAGTAGTACTCTACAGTTTTACATATGCGCTGGAATGCACTTCCACTGGGTTCTGGTTTCTGTACATTGTAAATGGTCTTCAAAGAAGGAAAGTTACTACTTTGTCTGCAAGAGAAAACCCCAAGAAACCTTTAGCTTCATCAAAAATCTGCCACGTCTAGTAGTGATGACTCACAGGAACAATTTTATTCTTTGAGAGCCCTCCCTTGGTTGGTTAGAAATTAAATATTCTCATTTAGCACTAAATGAAATTTCTAAAGCCTCAATCATACTTGAAGCAAGCAAACTAATCCTTAGAAAGCCATGCTTTTTGAAAGCAGTTTTGATTATCAGCAAGATGTGCTGTTCAAAGGAACCCGTTTATGCAAAGAAATTAAAATAATGTAACAGCTTCATTCAACAGTTCTGTGATACTCATTAAGATTTTCTTGACTTAAAAACAATTTTGTATCTTTTTTCTACTTGCTCCAGCAACTGTTTTTCTGGAGTTTTGGAAAAGAAGGCGAGCCGTAATTGCTTATGACTGGGACTTGATAGACTGGGAAGAAGAAGAGGTTTGTATAAAAAAATGTACACCCTCATCTTTAAAACAAAAATTTTGTTACAAATTTGTGGGTTTATTTTGGATTTATTTTCAAGTCATTATTCAAATCTTTAAAACTATGAAATAAGCATTTTTCTCCTCCAAAGTTTCCTCTGAAACATGAAGAAACTTTCTCCAGGCCAGACTGTCCTCACTTTTTACACCTTTGTAAATCTAAATTAATTTGTGAGATTTCATGGGGAAAAAATGCACTTTGTGGGAAATCCATTTTTGTTTTGGTAGCTAACAAATTTTGCTGTTTAATCCAAGGAAATTCTTGATAGCCCAGGGTACCATGAAATTTGGCAAATGAGCTTTTATTTATTTTTTTTTAAGTAGTCATTAGGAGTATTGATGGAAAGAAAGCCTTTTGAGGCTTTTGAGCTTCTGAACATTCAGGTGCTTGGGTTTTTTTTGAAAAGTACTGTGGAGAGAGAGAGAGATGAACCAACTCAAAGGACTTAATTCATCCCGTGTTGGTAGAGAATATTCCCTTAGGAAGGAGCTTAAACAGCAAAAAATAACTTTAAGCTTTTGCTGTGGTGGTTGCCAGAAAGGAACAACATGGTCTTGGGACTGAGAACTGAGGTCTAAGTGGAACTAGAAGGTTTTATTATGCAAAACAAAAGCAAGATGGGTATGGCAGAAAGATTGTTCCTTGAGTGGGATTTGGACTATTCTTGGAAAAAAAAAAAGGCATCTATTTCACAAAGAAATATAGAGGAGCTCTTCTAGAGCACAAAGATCTGGTCTAAGGCAGAGAATATTAATCCATAGTTGATATTCCAGAAATTAGTATGCTTTCACCTATGATTGAAGACTTGGAATTATCCATATATGAGAAGTGGGAAGGAAAGAAAACAGTTTATTTTATGTAGGTAGAAAAAGACACATTCTGTGGAGTTTGATTGTGAAATTGTACAAACAATGAGGAAATCAATGAGAATTTTGTCTCCATAAGGTGAAAATTTTACTCCTAAAAGTGCTACTTTCTAATAAAATCACTGCTAAATAAATTTCTTATCTACATTCCATCCAGTTATCACAAGACAAAATCAGCTGATTGCTTTCGTTAGTTATTTCAAAGAAATCAATTATAGAGTTCAAATTACCATTTTAAATCACAAGCTTTTGATAATGAAGATTAGTATTTTAATAACACTATGTGTCTAGCTTTCACTTGCTTTAATCTTCATTGGCAAATTAAAAAACAAGGTTTTGATACAGAATTAAATTTATTAATTCCTATCAACAATAGAATGAAAAAAATTAATAAGGCTTCCTATCACTTTATTATCCCCTTCCTGTTCTAAACGAAGAGACAAATAAATGAAACAAGAAGAAAGGAGAATTACATTTTTTCAGATATCCAGCCTTGCAAATTCCTCACTAGATTAGATTTTCACCCAAGGAAGGCCTGCAGCAGCCCCTGCAGTGTCCAGGTCCCTCAGTCTGGGGACATGGACCAAAGATGTTCTGGCTCTTTCAACCCTACATATCCAGATTTCCCGTCCTTGTAAACTAACAAGGTGTAAGACATGGAGAGGCTTGGGTGGGCATTCCACAAGAAACCAACTGCACACAGTTTCTGGCACTCCCAGGCAGAAAATAGCTTCTGTTGCTATTAATACTTTTTTCTTTTTCTTCAGTGTCACTTTCTTCGTATCATTAACCTCAGCCAGACACTGTACCTTTTACTTCCAGCCCTAACCATTGCTGAGTGTCATTAAAGAGGTACAAGGTTCATGCCAGAGTCTCGGGGTTTTTTGTGGAGAATATCTGTAAAAATAGAACTTGCATTATCTGAATCGATGAGATTGTAGGACATGTTGATATGATAAGGACTTCCCTATAATGCAAACTGTAAAAGGTAATCAAACCTTGGCTCAGAGACAGTTGCAGAGAAGTAAGGGTTTCTTGTCTATGACTCAGTGAGCCACCTGGCAGAGCTCTTGCACAATGTACAGGGTTCGATTCTCAAGCACCCTGCTTCAGTGCTGTCACACTCCATCCTTTTGTATGCCCCTGGGCACACAGGAATACTGCTCACACTGTTCTTTTTGCCAGATTATGGTCTGCTCAGCTGCCTGCAGCCCTAATATGGCAGGAACAGCTTAAGCAACATAAAATAAGAGCAAGGTGTTACTCTGTCTCCACAGAAACATGCTTAGCCTCTGTATATAACTCATAGCTTATGTAGGGCTGGTTCCCTCAGGCACATAATTAGTTACACAGGCATTGCAGTCAGGCATACCTGACTTTTAACTTGTTTTTATAAAATGTTATGAAGGTCTTTGTAACAAATAGCTGTGTGAACTTGGAAATTAACTGTGCTGAGAAAATGTCTTCAAAACTTGGGAGAAGGAGAATGAGATGAGTTCTTTTCTTTTTTCCCTTTCAGGGCAATTTTATAAAAAGGATGTAGGCTTTTATTCACATTCTAAACATGTGTGAGAGCATTTAATATTCCCTAGTTTCAATGTAGTCATTTAACGTCTGGGCATTTACAACTTTAGTTGGTCAGAGTTCAATTAAAGGAAGTTGAAGAGTTGGAATTGACTAAAATTTGTAAGCTGGATTCTTGTCTGCTCCCTTGTAGTCAGCCATACCACGCATCACTTCTGCAGAATACAGCAGAACACTATAAACATTGATCTGAAGTCTCCCAGCAGTTGTGAGAGTCCATCCCCACAGCCTGGTGCTTTCTCTCATCTCTGACAGTGTCCTGGATGTCGGAATTGGATGAAGTGGCACAGGACAGGTGGCTGTTGGTGAACCTCTGCATGTTAGGGTAGCCCTATTGCAGCTGAAAGCTGTGAGGTATTACCTGCACTAAGGGTGAACCCTGTCTTCTGACAAATGCTGTAAACAGATGTAACCAAGTCTCTCCCCTAGTAATCCCCAAGTTTCATTTCAGAAGAGGGGTTTAAATGGCAGAGTAAGATCTGGCATTTCTGCTGCTGAAAGTTGTTCCTAATAATAATATTGCCCAAGTTAGGAAACATTTGAGCAGCATTGGATGGCATGGGTCCTTCTTCAAATGATGAGAAGATTTTGCTGATGTTTGGAAGGTAACCAAATACCTAAAAAACAGCAATTCAGTTTGGGAAAAAGAGTTTGGTTTTTTTTTTTTCTTTTTACTTTGTTGAAAAACTCCAGAATTAGTAAGATATTGTCAGATGGAAAAAATCTGTGGTATCAACCTTAAAAAGATTTGTCTTGCAGCCACATAGCTTGAAAGAGCATTGTTCAGAGGAGTAGCTAACTGGGGATTTTACTAAATACTTTCAATACTTACTTCTATGGGTACAATGATTTATTCCAGTTCTCAGGAAGGAGACCTGATTTCCCAGCTCATCTCTTATAGTATCTGTGCCAGATGTGAATTCAAAGATTTAGTTCCCAATAACAGTGATCTGAGAAAAGATCTGAAGTTTCCTACAGAGTTTTTTCTAGCTGTGGTGTATAAGAACATTGTCTGTCTGTTCTTTAGGAGGAGATACGTCCGCAGTTTGAAGCCAAATACTCCAAGAAAGAACGAATGAACCCCATATCTGGGAAGCCAGAGCCTTATCAAGCATTTGCAGATAAATGCAGCAGACTCATCGTTTCTGCATCGGGAATATTTTTTATGGTTTGAGAACTTTTGTTTATTTACCAGTTGAAAAAAAAAACACAAAATAGCATTATCTCTGCTGATAGAATATCTAAATATTTGATATGATTTCTTGAAAGGGAAATAAGCTCTGGCATGGTTACTGCAGGTTGAAAATCTACATAGCAAATCACTCAAGTTCCTGTGAAGTCCTACACTAGTTCACTCTGAGCTAAGTCTCACAGATAGTTAAGTCCTTCCTTCAAGGCTGTACCTGTAAGATTATATATAGTTACACACATGCCAGAATAGTGTTTCTCTCACATTTAGGCACCATCTTCAGCTGACTGAATTAACTCATTGGTTGTCTTCCCTGTGTAGACAGTGCAGAGTGATGCAGAAAGATGCCATAGAACAGGCAGTTGCTCTTTGTAAACTTCACAGAGAACCTAAGATGCCTAGAGTACCTAATGATGCTAATATGTCCTAATTTTTCAGTGTATTGAGGAGATAAGAAAAGAGGGTTCATATTCCTAGTGCAATTGAAATAGAGAAAAAAAGTGTTCCTGACTAAAATGTGGCATTTCCCCCCTTTTACAAAGTGCAAAACTAAATGCAGCAGCAAAAGCTGTCCTAACAAAGAGCTGTATGTATTTCTGCTGAAATGCCCCCATCCTCTAACTTCAGTGAAGCTGTTATGGGCAGTTATTCACATGAAGACGGTTGGGGTAGTACTGGTCTTGAAAACACAGCTAGCATCAACTCAGACTGTCACGGAATTTACTAGGGCTATTCCAGGAGGCTGGGAAATGATAAGTGTGTACATCCTCAGGAGCTGTGGAGAGCCGGGTAGGTGAGCTAGCCCAGTAACGGGGCAGAGGACTTGCAAGAAACTGATGGCTTCAAAATTGTCCTTAGCAATCTTGTTCAAGAAAGGCAAATGCATTATTGAGATGAGCTGTGCGCTGGTATGGCAGATGGTATGGGTGGACACAGACAGCCCTTGAAGACACATATATGCAGTCTCCATTCAGAATTGACCCTACACCTGTGATGTTTTCCATATTTTCCCTATGGTTTTTTTCTTGAAGGGGGCCAGTATTTTACTCCCTACTATTTGCAAACTCAGTCATTAATCTTCTCAGCCTAGTTATAGATCTTGCTCAAAGTGCCAGAGAGAGTAGCCTTGCTCTGAATTGCATACATCACAAACTATTGTCCTCATAACAGTCCTTGAAACAGGACAAAAATTATTTTCACTGAAGATACCCTTTATTGTTGGCATAATATGGGCTTCCCGCGAGCTAGAAAAACTCTGCATTTTCAAGCATGTAGATAAAAATATTCCTTTTAAATTACAGCTGTAAGCACAGGAGATATACGCTTACCAAAACTTCAAGTTAGAGGAGTTGTCAAAATTTCTCAGCATTGATTCCCACAGTGCAGTTACTAATACAGCTTGAACCAGGCTAATTGTTCCCTGGTAAGTAAAAGGAAAGTGGTCCTTCCTCCCCTAAATACTCTGCAGGGAATCAAGAGACAATCCATCACATTCACTCACACTTCTCTTTTATGTCTGCATTGAGATTACGTCAGTCAAATTTGTAATGAATGTGAAAATATGAAAACAGCTTGATTAGCATTCAATGTTTTCCAAATAATTTTGCCCATTTAATTAGCACAGATATACTTCAGTTTTGTTCAGTTTAAGTTGTCTATGCACAACCTTGCAATGCACCACTTTAGCAAATAATTTGCTGTGTTCTACTGAGGAAACTCTTTCCCCTTGTCTAATAAGGTGGCTAATGGGTCCTGTGTCAAAGTGTCTGTGAGAGGAGTGACCCATATAATGCTCAACAGTTTGTCCTTTAGGTGGCTTGCTAAACTGTGACATAATTTGGTCACAGTGGAAAACAGTTGTCCTTCAGTGCTCAGCTGTTGCATAAGGAACATCAAGCAATTTAGCAGGCCAGCTCAGCTTCATGGTTTTCTCACTGTAACTGCTTCACTGATTTGCTGAATGTTTCATCAGAGAAGAAATTACAAGGGCAATTGGACTTATTACCTTCTCTAGATAGAAACTGTTCAGAACTGTAGGAAGAAACAACTAGCTAGGGTAGCTTAGCAGGGTTGTTGTTGAGGCAGTGCTCACAAATGGAGGCATTTTTTCCTTTAAGTGTGAGGTCTATCAAAGCACGAATCCATCCCAAATGATACCATCAAACTGGGACATCAGCTTCAGACTAGCCTTTGCACATTATGTGCACATAAGGAAAATTTGTAACTCCCAGAGCTGGCAACACTGTTTCCCACATTATTGCTAAGGAAGAGAAACAACTTCAAAAAAATGTTTAAAACTAAAAATTATTTTAATATTATTTCAAAGGTATTTGTCATTATGAGAAATGAAAAGAACTTTACAATAAGAATAATTATCATGTTGAAACCTTTTTCTGGAATCAAATGGATTTTTAAAGTCTTTTATTATGTTAGTTTTCAGAGTTTCAGAGAGAAGCTAACTCCTATTCTACTGGAAGTTCTCAGATTCTTCTCTCTGGTTTTTATTTCTTTTAGATCTGTGTGGTGATTGCTGCTGTTTTTGGCATTGTTATTTACCGTGTTGTGACTGTCAGCACTTTTGCTGCCTTTAAGTGGGCTTTAATCAGGAATAACTCTCAGGTTGCAACTACAGGGACTGCAGTGTGCATCAACTTTTGCATCATCATGCTACTGAATGTGGTGAGTAAAATTAACATTTCTGAAGTTATGCCCATACCATCAGAGCAGAAAGATATCTTCATCTGAAGACCACCAAATGCTTTCAGTTCCTTTTTTTCAGCAGGAATGGAATGTCTTCCTATGATAGAAATGGAATTACTGTTTGTGGATATCAGTCACCATTTATCCAAAGTACAATTCCAACCCCAAAACATTATGTAAAGTGTGTTTGAATGTTCTAAAAATATTTTAGGGAGACACACTCATACCCCTCTTTTATCCTCTACCTCTTTTTTTTTCCTTTTATACATTTGCAGATTTCAGTCCATTTCTCTAATATTTTTGTTTCTGATTGTGTTTTGATGTTATCTTTTAAGTACAGTGGCCCAGCTAAATTCTTATTTATGCTATTTTCAACAATTTCAATTTCAGTTTTCCTGGTAGTTTACAAGTGAGGGTATGCATATACAGACACAATGTCCCTATGCCCGATGACTCTCTTGAGCTGAAGATTTTACAAGGCTTGAGCAGAAGTGAATTGTTCTAGAGCCATCTATGGCCTTTGCCAGAGTACATCAGAGACTGGTGCAGTCTGGGTGCAGTGAACTGGGGCTGGCTGAGGTTAGGTTATTGTTGTGAACTGATTTGGAACCAGATCTGGGATAAAGACAAAAATGGAATTTCTATGTCCCAGTAAGACAGTACAGCAGATATCAGATGGGGAATGAGTTCCATCCTTGCACTGAGATGCTGGTACTCCCATGTATTCCTCTGATAGCAGTGTGTCTTCTATTTGTTGCTCTTGGCAAGAGGTATATGGCCTTTTTCACTCTCAGGGTTTTGTCTGCTGACATCATAAGAATGCATTTTAAGGGGAAGGAGAGATCAACCTACAAACCACCCAGGTATCAGAGCCAAGGTGGGGTATCTCTAGCTACTCAGTAGCTAGCATCTTCTGTAAAAAGCATGTTAGGCTTTGCTCCAGGAGAGGTGCTAACTGATTTCCTAGAGAGTATGAGATGTTTTTTCAGGCCTGCTTATTTCCAAGTGCTGGCTTGGAGACTACTTTCTTTCCTGTGCAATACCCAAGAATTTCCATCATCTAAAAATTGATTTTAACAGTCCCTTGTTTCTGTGGCTGGAAATTCCAAGAGATTGCTGCAGGACTTTACTTCACCCTCTGGCATAGACAAGACTGAATTAGTGACTAAGGGAATCTGTCTAGAACTTTTAACTTTTCTCTGTTTTCCCTTAGGTGGGACTATAGGCTGAGAAAGGACAGGAAGAAGAGGAGGAAGATGTTTTTTTCTGTCTGAATTTGTACTGAGAGCTCTTTTATGTTATTTTTCATTCATTGTTTACTGTCTGCAGCTTTTGGGGGTTTTCTTTACTCCACTTAAAGTACACAATATGCATAGAAGTAATAAAAAGAGAACTATATATATCTATGCCAGTACAACGTCCCTTTCCAAGCTCTCAGTATGTCATTGTATATGCAGTGAAGCAGCAACAAAGAACTACTGCACAAATAAAACTATTTTGTTCTCAAAGACTTTTACAGCTTCCAGAATTTTTTAAAATAATGTAAGATTGCTTGAAGATGCCTTTTGAGAAACTTTTCTTTTTTTCCTAAAATACATCAAATAAATGGAGCACCGCAAAAATGTATTTCTTAAGCCTTACACTCATTACCATTCAATAGAGACCACAGCCATAGATATAGCTCATGAAAACAAAAGATCCACAAAATATGAAACTGCAGGAGCTTTTCAAAAGAAGGATTTAGGAACATAATCCCCCACTTCCCATGATGGATTAATGTAGTTTATTGAGGGGGAGTGGTGGAATTTCTTCTGGGAAGAAAAAAAAAAATCCCCAGAAGCAATTCAGGTAGTTGAATCCTTCATGAACTCTGACTCAAGCATTTGGACAATGCTTTCAGGCACATGTGATTCTTGATGTGTCCTGCACAGGGCCAGGAGCTGGACTCGATGATCCTTGTGAGTCCCTGCCAACTCATCATATTCTATTATTCTATGATTCTATGAAAAGTACCAGAAGAGCAAGCAAAGATACAGTAATAAAACCAGAACAGACCAATATGTGCATAGAAGTAGAGAATTCCCTGCTAGGAAGCCTTGAAAACTACCAGTGATTCTGATACAAGTTGACAGCCTCTCAAAGCATCAGGGGAAAGGTCTAGACCTAAAGTAAATTCAAGACCAGACACTAGGAACATTAGGTACATACTCTGACAAATCCACCATGACAAAACAAAATGACCTTCGAGTATAATGTCTCCCAGATAATCCTGCAGCTTTGACCTGAAGACAATCATTAGCTTTGCCTAGGTTAATAAAACCTGTTAATTCCAGTTATATTGCCCATGGAAAATATGAACATAGAAGAGAATATGATCCTAAACAAGGACCCTTGGGACTAGTAGTGATAAACTGCAGTAGCAGATAATTAGATCCAAACATTGTTAACAGAACCTCTAACACAGTCTTACTGTTCCAGAAGGAACAGCAACAAAATACAGTTTTGATACCCACTTTTGTAGAGCAACATACATTTGTAAAATAAAACACTCCCTGCTGGGATTAGGATATAAATGACCTAGACATTTTGCACTTTTACAGTTGCCCTTAAGAGATGCTTTTAAACTCAGAAGAAACGATCTTTTTCAGTACTTGAAACAAAACAATTTACTCCAAAGGCAGCAGAAAGCTATTCTAAGCAAGAAGTGGTTATTAACATGGATGAGAGACTTCAGGGTGACTTCAGTTCTTATGCGGGCAGTTTGATCTGTAAACTGTACATAACTCAATTTAGTCATGAGTTTATAAGGATAACTGCAAATGAAAAGAAACATTGCTGATCTGCACTTTAGGGATAAGTAAGTACTTCAGCCTGAAACATGAGGATGTTTGTTTCCCTCTAGGCATCAGTGAGAGTTATGGACATTTAGCAATTTGTGGCAACAGGCTCCAGTTTCATTTAAAGCAAATGGAAATCTTTGTATTATATTGCACTAATACTGAGGTTGTTGGGTTATAGGTACAAAACTCCTTTAAAAATACTGATTGTGAAAACCTTCCAAGTTAGTTTTGTAAGCTTTATGAAGTTACCAGGCTCCTACAGAGTTTGAGAGCATGGTATCTGCTAAATGGACAAAGTATTACTTAGGATTTAGAAAAATGTTACTAGCTCAGAGTAAGAAATGTGTTGCGGGGATTCCTAAAGATTTCCTCTGAAATAAACTCAGCCCCTCTATGACTTTCCTTTCAGCACCATAAAAGTCCTAAACAAAATAAAAAAACCCAAATACCCAACATACCCAACATACCATAGCATGCTTTTCTAGTGTGATTTTTTTGGTGAGATAAATGTTCCATAAGTAACTAAAACAAACATCTTGGTTGAGCTATTGTTCTGCTTTGTGTTTTTCCAAAAGATGTTTCACCCTTTTTCACTGTGTATGGAAAAAAGAGATAGTGACGGCATTTTTTCTCCATATGTTGTGGATGAAAAGAGCTGAGCATAAGCTATAAAAACATTACTTTTTCATGTTTAATTATATAATTGTTATATATTGTTATTTATATTATTGCGTATATTATATATAATATACTATATATTATATGCTATTGTATTATTACTGTGTAATAATTGTTTTTAAAACAATAGTTTTATTATAATTGTCAGAACATCGCAGAAATCATCTGGATGTCAGATTTAACATGCAGGAGCAATTACTCTATCCAGAAAGCAGTTCAGTATTTTTGAGGTGGTCTCGTAACTAAGAGGTTGTTTCTTCTCTATTCCAGCTGTATGAAAAGGTTGCTCTTTTCCTGACAAATTTAGGTAAGTTAAATGCAAAATTGAATGATACTGTACTGATTTATTGGTCCATATACTGGGATAATATTCAAAATGTCTGTATAAATATGAAAAATCCTAATTAATTTGCAGTCTACAGGAGTTAATTTTTTTCTTAAGTTTATAGTAAAAGAGTATAGAAACTAAACTACAGTGCCATTCAATCAGTGGTGACAGCAATCATCTACCTTTGTCCTTCTTTCAGCTCCTTACCTTTTAAGAACTTAAACATAGTGCTACCTTGGGGGAAAACGTATGGGTTTTTAGACAGACTGAGCACTCACAACCCCTAGGTTTTGTGAAGACCTGGTAAAGGAGAATCCCTTCTGGAAAAGAAACTTATAGCTAGAAACTAAGGTATTTACTGACTATCAAACATTTACCTTTTAGAGGGGTAGTAATTTGAAGGGAAAATAACCAGGTGAGTTATCAACCTTACCAACACACAAGCTATAGTGATGTTCTAAACTTCAGTAATCTTTTCTCTCACCCATAAAGATGGTCTTCATGTTAGAGTAAGGAAACAGGTTTTCTAAGGAGAGCATGTACTGTCACTGGGGTAGCAATAGGTTGTCATTCATACCTCCATGTTTCAGGCAGAATCTGTGGGGTTTCTGATAATTTTGGAAGATTGCAGTAGTTTGCAGCTATTTGCAAGGGCTCTTCAGTGTCAAGAAGCCTGAAATGAGGCTCTTGCTGAAGGCCTATTAAGCAAACCATATTATGGCATGTGTAGAAGAGGTTTGAGGGGATTATTTTGAGCTCCTGGAAACCTCTGTACATTGATGATGTTCAGTAAAGTATTTTGGACCAGATGGACAGATTTTGGTGTCTGCTCAGAGAAAAAAAGCTGATTTTAGCTACTATTTAGCTATTTTAGTCAAGGTTTTTCTAAATCTGGGAAGTCACTGCTGATGTGTTCAAAGCACATCTATGTAAAATAGCGTTCTACTCTTTCGTTTCTTTTTAAACTGAGCATCCTCATTTGTATGCTGTAATTTTAAAATATTTTTGCTCTCCTGTATCTATGGAAAAGATACCTGCTAGTTACGGTTGAGAAATCTGACTTTCAAGTATGTGATTTGCACAAGTTATGCTCTCTTGCTCTGTGTGATACCCTGGGGACAGTAAGATACGGTCTGGAGATCTTGAAGTTTGATTACTTTCTCTCAGGTTATCATCAAGGTATGTCTGCTTCTTGTAACATGCAGAAAGCACTTTTATAAAAATTCAGTGGATCAAGATGTTCTGATCACGTTCAGACTGTTTTGTGATTTTTACTCTGATGGCCTAAGGAACTGATTTGGTTTGAATGATCTTTATCAATGTAATAACCTCAGAGTGGGATTGGCAGGAAAACTGCATTCAGGATGTCCTTCTTCAGCCTTTTTCATGACCTTTTTCAGAACTCATGTCCATGCTACTCCAGAGCATCACCATTGTCTCTGATGGGCATATAGTCAAACTTGTCCTGCCCACAGACTGGCATCTATTTAGAGAGCAGCTCCAAGTAAAGAGAATATAATCTATCATTCTTTCTGTACTTCCAGTACTTTACTGGATGCTCCTTTGGAAGTAGTATATGAGTACCATGATTGTGATACTCAGAATCACCATTAGCACCTCCACCTCTCCTCTCATTTCTCCTGTTCACAGCAATGCTTGGCTAATAACAAGCTCCTGCTAACTGGAAAGTGGTTCCAGGACACGGTACTGGTGTGTTGGCACAGAGGATGTTTTGTTAACTTCTGTCTTGATATCTCTTTGAATGGAGATTAAGGGCCTACCTGAAGGGAAGAATATGTCTTCCCCTTTCCTGTTTTCCTTAGCCCATCCACTGCAAAATATTTTTTTCTCAGTTCTCTATGGTGAGTTCCCTTGGACAAGGAAAGGGAGTTATGCAGTGGCATTCCACTGATACCTGTGGGCAAATCCATGAAACACAATTACAAAGAGGATTTTTTCCAGTTCAGTGTGACGTCTCTAACAAAAAGGCCCTTAAGTAGCTTGTAGTAAAGTGCTTTCTGGCAAAAAAAAAAAAAAAAATATATGGTAGGATACAGAAAAGGAAACGAGAGGAACCCAAGCCTGTAAATACCACTGAAACAGAGGAGGGATGTTTAATACACACATTACCTTGACCACTTTCTTATGATCTCGTGGGAATACACACATCCAGATATCAGAAGAGATTTCCAAGTCTCTACAAGCTCACTTGCCGAGTGCTACTCTTGGATACAATTTCTTCTATCATCTTATAGTTTGAAATCATCAGGCTAATTTACAAATAGATTGCCAGCTCTCATATGTGTGTGCATCCTCTGTGCCAAGGGAAATTGTTAATCTGATTAGACCTCTGAAACTCTGATAATTTTCTTCACAGAGCAGCCTCGTACTGAATCCGAGTGGGAGAACAGCTTCACTCTGAAAATGTTTCTTTTTCAGTTTGTCAATCTGAACAGCTCTACGTTTTATATAGCATTCTTCCTTGGAAGGTAGGATTGATGTCTGCTCCCTTACATATGCAAAATGAAGTAGAGAAAAAAAATAAAATTTTCCATAATGAAACAAAATGGACCATATTATCACACATCTCAAAATGCAAACTCTATATTAGCAAGGCAGAACAGACTGCAGTTTTATTTTCCTTTCAAAAGCCCAGAAACAGACCCAGTTTTCATTTTCTGGAACCACATGGTCTCAATGATAACTTCATAATTTTACAATTAGGAACAGATGCATCCCACAATATTCTACATGCAGGTCATTTCACTCTGCCTTTATGTGTGTAATTTGTACAGGCAAGTAAAAGACAGGATAAGCTAGGCTAAGCTAGGCTAAGCTAAGATAGGGTAGATAGTTCATTTGGAAAGGACCTACAAGAGTCATCTAGTCCTACAGCCTGAATACTTTGCTGCTTCTATTAAATGATTTGAACTGTTAAGAGTGAATTATGAGCTATTAGTTGGGGTTTTTTCCCACTGAATATTTTACATATAAAAATATATTTATATGTATGTATTTTATATATATAAAATTTGTATACCTCTTCCTGCCAGCCTCCTAAAAAGAAAGAGTCTTTGAGTAGAGAAGGTTTGACTAGAAGAATCCATTAGTATGGATTATTTGCCTATGTGAATCACTTTGGGAGAAAACATGGGAGGATAGTAATAAAATTATGGGGGTTTTAATGAAAACTAAAATTTTCACTGATTTCACAGAAAGATAGATATCATAGCCCATAGTGTAGTGTAAGGAAGTTGACTGGCATTGAAAGCCATTTTCCAAATTGATATGAACAGTTTCAGTTAGATTTTCCCTCTGCTCTGCGTATGTTGAATATCCAGCATCAGAGTATTTGGTATCGAAATAAAACAGGAAGTAAAAATATACTCAGTCTTTCATGGAGATTATTCCAGGAATCTCCAATACATTTTGTGGCACAACATCTTTTAAAGTTATATCAGGCATGCTAAGATAACATCAGATTAAAATAACAGTGTGAGCTTTCTTGTACTACTGTGAACAGACTGCTTACACAACAGAGTTGATATATATTCCTGTGTTAAAGATTTACAGGACACCCTGGTGCCTACTTAAGGCTGATAAACCGGTGGAGACTGGAAGAGGTGAGTGTTCCATAACTGCACACTGATTTATCTGCTGCCCACGAATGCCGTGAATGCAAGCAGAGGCAGACACATTACTCTGTCTAGGCATTTTTAAGTGTGTTATTGAGTTTTCAGTTGCTCTCTAACTCCACACTATTGACATTACCATCTACTTCAAAAAGATCTACATATTGATATATATATTCCCTTTACAATGCTAGCAGTTTTAGTGGCTGCTTCACATCTGAATAGTGGCATCATATGGTTTAAAAATTACATATTTACACTGAAATATTTCACCCTTGAAATGAATTGAGGTCAGACATTAATCTGACAACTTTTTGCTTCTAAAAAATCTTTTCTTCTCAGTTTATCTAATCTTGCTGATCAGGGAGCTAAAATAATAAAATAACAAGTTAAAAATCCAGACACATAAAATGTACATGAAATTTGACCAAAACAACTGAAAAAACTTCCCAAACGAGCTACAGGCATAATGTTCCATGTCTATAAAACCAAACGAATATGGAGTTTGGCTTTGCAAGTCACTCAAGGACGAATCCCTGGTTTTTTGTGCTTTGACAAACACATTCAGAATTTAAAACCATTTGACAGTTACTGAAGGTGAACAGCAGTAGTTCCTGAATCAGTCATTTAGTTTCCAGTGCTGCTATTTGCAGACTCAAATCCCCTGGTTTCTTTTCTGCTTCACAGCTGAATAATTGAAACAACTTTGCAAAGATATAACAAATTACAAGTGGAAAATGCCTGCCAATATGAATTTTCAAACGCTTCTGGACATATAAATATTTTGATTAATAGAGGCCATCCAAATATTAGGGGGAAAAAAGGAGACAGAAAAAAAAGAAGTTGTGAATTAGTGAATTCTATTAATTCAGGTAAATAATACTGGATAAATGGACAGACAGAAATTAATTTAACATCCCTCCAAAATCTGAATGGAGGTGAGCTGATCTAAAGCTTACTGCTGCCAAAAGAAGCCAGTTCTGCTCTTCCTTTGAGTCCTCCCCCAGAAATTTGCTCCTTCCTCTGCATTGGCTCTGGCTTGTTCAACCCTGTGAGGATCCTGTTCAGTTCCTTGTATAAGCAGTAAACTTCCCTTTTCTGGACAGATTTTTTTTCTGATGTGTTACTGGGCTGAATCAACACACAGAGGGATCAGAGAACAGGGAAAGAACATCATCTCTCCACAGGAGCAGAGATGGGAGGAAAAGTGAGGGAATTTCAACCGTGAGGTGTTACAGGTTGGGTCAGTTGCTGGTCGAAGCTACTATTAGTACTCCCCACTTTGCTTTTTGCAAAGTGAAAAAAGTCTAATAATAAAAGAAATATTTAATTTAAAAAAAAAAGTCTTGACTCTATCAGCTATATCTGGACTAGGTCTAACTAGAAACATGCTTTAGAATATCATGTTCAGATATCCCTCCAATAGTCCTCTCTTCACCCTTTGAATGAAGCCAAGTCCAAGATGTGTGGTGACACAATATAGTCTAGTAGAGTCTGTGAACATAATCAGACCACAGTTTATGTATTGCTGATACTATAGTTGATACTATAGTTGTTGCTGCTTCGTTAACACTGCACCTACTTCTCAGGTTACATTGGCTCATGTTATTGATTCCTAAAAACAGAAGGATGATGATTTAATAATAGTGACAGAGAAGTTAATTAAAAAAGATAATAATAATCTGCCACCCTGTTTATCTAAAGCAATGCTGAATGAGGTCAACAGGGACCTGGGTTCTAAGCACTGGATAATGCAGAATGTATAAGAAATTCATTTCTCATTTTATTACAGGTCAGAGCTAATTTTTCTCCCAAAAATTTAAAGAGAAGTAATTCCAGTTCCATGAAAGTGATCTGTTTAACTTATCTATATTACCCAGGATTTAAAAATACATCTTGAACTCCACTCTTTGGACCTGGAAAGTCAATTGTGCAAAGAACTGTTTAAGGGCAGAAAGTTTTTGGTCCTTTTCTGTTTTTTTCCAGCACTAGATGAAAAATTACCTAAATTTCTACTAGCTGAACATTTCTTCCAAAATCAGCACAAGAACTTTAAGGTCTGGAGGCACTGTTAAAGCAAGCAAGCACTCAGCAAGAAACACTAAGAACTGTTGTTCAACAGTTAAGAGATCTTTAGTTCTTCAGGATGAGAATAGCCTTGCACAGTCCGCTCAACCATAGACATTAAATAGTACTCAACAGTATTAGGTCTATCCTTTAGGCATAAACTGTTCTCCTGTGCAGACAGGAGGAATTTTCTCATCATTCTTTGACTTGATGTACAGTCATCCACCCAAAAAACCTACTGAAATCAGTGGAGAAAATTGGCCTTTGCTTCTGACCTACTCATGGTTGCACAGCGCATTAGAAGCATTAATGTGAAAACTGCTTTGGTTTCAGCTGACTCTGACCTCTGCAGAGAATTAGATGGTAGTCTTAAAAGGCTGACAGTATGATACAGTGTCATATGTTCCCATTAATTTTTATTTTTAAAAAAAAGTGAATGACATTTAAATTCATTTTAGTAAATAATCTAATATCCATTTCTAGTCTTTAAAAAATGCTATAAAACTTGGTATAATTTCTGTTTAACATTTTCTTTCTTTTTTTTTTTGTCCCTGTAGTGCCACCCTAGTGGATGCCTTATTGATCTCTGTATGCAAATGGGTATTATAATGGTGTTAAAGCAGACATGGAATAATTTCATGGAACTTGGCTATCCGTAAGTAAATATAAAATCTATGCTTCTGTAGGTCACAGAATACTAAGTTTATGCTTTCCTCATTGGGCAGTTAATAAAAGGAAGTTACAGTAGTCATTACAACAGAAAATTCTCCCAGGGATACAGAATTCCAGACCTATGGAGATGGTGTTTGGGGTTTTTTGCACATTAGACATAGTTTGCAAAAGTGAAAGTGTAATATAAATATTAACAAATAAGTAATTGATTTCACTAAATTGTATTCTGTGCTTTAAAACTCCTTAAAAATAACTGCAGGACCACTGTATTGCTTTCACAGGAAGTATTATATGTATCATTTCTTAGCTATGCCAGTAAGTTCTAAATTGGACTTCTCCTTGCTGGGTGATAAAAGATGCTTCAAAGAGCAGGTATGAGCTGGAAAAAGTGCACTGCTGGCATATACACTCCCAGAGATAGAAAAATATACTGACTGGTATGTACACAAGTTCCCTGGTGATCTTCAGGGTATTATGAAGCTGTGCCCCAGCTAAAAAGGTTGGCAATCATTAATTTCCTACTGGTTCATTTGTTATTGATTAGTATTTAATGAGCATGTTTAATATGATTAATATAGGTTTAATATGATTATTATAGTTGATGTTAGAGACAGTGGGGCAGGTCATCAGGGGAAATTAACATGCAAAAATGTAAGAGAGAGCTGACCTTGTCAGAAAGTTTGCCTTTCCAAAAAGTTCAGAGGGATTTGCTCTGTTGAAGGATCCACAGCAGATCTAGGGCTGAGTTTGGCCCCTGAACTACAGAAACATTTTGCTGAAGTGACTTCAGGCAGCCTCGGTACTGTAATGAAAAGCCTCAGCCACATCTGGCTGTAATGAGAATGGAGTAAATTATTTAAATGCACAGAGCAATTGACAATCAAGGTACTCTACGCTTGCTATTTCTCCATCATTCCCAGGCCTAGTGCTCCTTGCCAGGATTTTGCAGCTGTTAGGGCTGCAGAAATTGGTTGAGGTGGGTAGAAGGGAACAGTAGCAATAGTACTGATCCTTCTCCTTCCACTCCCTGTCTCTTTTGTCAGTTTTTATTTGAACTTTCTGCTTTCTATCAATTTGGATTTTGAAACTTAATAAAGAGCGCAGAAGGGAATAAAAGAAGGTGACTGATGGAGATGGGAGGAGATTGTTTAAGAGTAAACAATTTAATAGGACTAAACTGCTTCAGGTGAAGTGAATCTCTTCACTTTAAAGTCACAACAAGAATCACAACATAAAACATACAGTCACAACATTGTGAAATGCTTCAATTTACTCTGATGAGAGATGTGTTCACTCTCCAGACCCTTCAGTCCATCTTCTAGCCCTGAAATGCTGCAGGCAGATGCATTTCCTTTTTGTGTGAAAAAAACATGATCCTTTCTGGTAAAAGCATGATTGGAGCCAACATCATGTGGATGGCCAGAGGACTGAGAGGCAACCCTATAATCTGTCGCTGAACTCAGTGGAACTGCATTCAGTTGCACCTACACTTCTTTAAGGAAGACAAGAAAAGCTATAACCTTTCTGATCAAAGGCCTAAATGGAAAAATAACCCTCAAGTTTTAAGAAAACAAGCAATTTTCCAAATCCTTATCCAAATACAGTGACTATTTGCCTACCATTCACAGACCAGACCAGGCCGCTGTGAAGGTAAGAAGTGAATCATTGTCAGGAAAAGGACTGAGTTGTTTGGGTGAGCCATCACCTTCTATCTGACTGAGATGAAGTGGCCAACCACAACATCAGAGGAATCTCTGTCAAACCCTCTGGTTTGGGATTTTTTTGCTCACTATACTAGGGTCCCTTGCTGGCCAAAACGGTGCAGCTCCTTGACCTTGAGAGGCAAAGGGGTTTATTTCTGACATGAGCCTTGATTTCTCCTCTGGCTCAGTGCCTCTGACAGTGGTCTTACATACGCATTTCTTTGGGAACAATATCTTCCCCCCGATGACTGGTACAGCTCCCCCATTTCTTGAGATGGAGGTAGATCTCATGTCAGCCATCCACCTCTCAGCCCCCACATGTTGTCAGTAGCCTACACACTTCTTTCTGCCTTTTGTTCCTCTGAGTGTTTGGCTGCAGATACCATTCAGGGTTGGCTTTTCCCTTACAGGATTGACCAGAAACTGTTACCCTGCACACTGTAGAACCGTGCGGAGTTGCTGTGTCGCACACAGGAAGGGATCAAGCAGCATTAGCACTCTTATTTACTGGGCTCGACTATCTCTGCACAGCATTGCCTTGTGCCATATCAACAGACTCTGAAATGATTTGCTATTCTGTGTAGAGAAAAAGAAGTAAACAAGTAACAAAAATACGTCCAAATCCCTTCACCATTTTAAAAACACCTAAGTCTGGATTACAGCCAATCTGTATTTGTTTCCATACCTATTATGCTGTGTCATCAGCCACATGTATTACTTACACTCTATTTTCCTTTGCATTGGGAAATGAATTTTGCAATATATGTTGTGCCCACTTAACCTCTTCCGATTTTGTGATAAATAGCCACTAATACTTTTTACCTTGTTTCTTTATTTTGAAATGTAGGCTAATTCAAAACTGGTGGACCAGGAGAAAACTACGACAAGAGTATGGCACACAGAGAAAAACAAGCTTCCCACAGTGGGAGAAGGATTATAATCTGCAACCTATGAATGCTTATGGACTCTTTGATGAATACCTAGAAATGAGTATGGCTCTAACCTTTGTTATCTTTCACTAGATTTTAGTGTTGTTGATTTTTTGATTATGTTAGCTGGTGTATTCTTTTAATTATCTCTATATGAAGCTTAAGAGGCTGCAAAATGGTTTTGATTCTCACAGGTCGGGTGAGGAAAGGGAGGAAGTTTGTAGGAACCAAACCAATGCAGCTAAGCACTGCTGCTGGCTTGCTAACGTATCTATGAAACACTTCCCATTCTGTCTTTGTTTTCCCAAACCAGAGATCAATTCTTCATTTGCTTACATTTCTGAAGAACTTTACTGTTATTTACTAAGGGAAGTTCCCTTGTGCTTTTATTTTAAACTGCATGGTACAGACCTGCATACTTGTTTTTATTTTAAATCTTCATTCATTTACCACCTCACTTACAAAGTAGCTTGCTGCCAAAAGGCATTGCTCTCTCTGGAGGAGAGGGAAGGATAACTGCTTCAAAAATATTAAAAACCAAGAACTTTTGCCCTATGTGACTGAACTGCATATGTCATGATTGGGGTTTTTTTATTTTCTCCCTCACATGGTTCTTTTCAAATTAATGGGAAATCTGTCAGTCTGAAAACCCACCTCTAGAAACTTACACAAAATTTCAAACTGCCTCCCATCTGAACTAGTAAAAGGAATGTATTCACCCCTAATCTTTGTAAGTATTGAGAGATCCCAGTTGATGCTGGAGTAAAAATACTCCTTTCCAAAAGCATAGTGTGTCCACCTCTGAACTTCATTCCAAATTACAAAATTTAGATGTTGCTGTCCATTCCAGTGTCAGATGTGCATTTGTTCTTTTCATCCTTCCTCTGAACTTTTGGCAAGGGCTTGCTGTACAACTGTCACTAGACTATTGTATAGTATGATATAGGAAGAAATGTTTATATACTAATACATAATGTTTGTTCGCATACACTATTTGGTATCATAGATAATTAATAATTATACTAGATATACTAGATATACATAGATAATAATAATTATAATATGGTATTTCCCTTTTCCCCTAGTTCTTCAGTTTGGGTTCACAACCATTTTTGTGGCAGCTTTTCCACTGGCACCACTTCTGGCCTTACTTAACAATATTATTGAAATTCGGCTTGATGCTTACAAATTTGTTACCCAGTGGAGAAGACCTTTAGCTTCAAGAGCCAAAGATATAGGTGAGTTCTTTATATGTGTGTTTGTTATATGTATGTGTTAAGACAAAGCACTGACCACTTCAAGTAAGAGCAGATTAAGGTATTTTCAGTCATCTTCACTATTAATGACACACATTATTTGATTGTTCAAAATAACTTCAAGTATCTGATGCCAATCTACTCATGAAATAAATAATCTATATTGGGAAATGTCTTTTAATGATTGGGGGGTGGGGGACTTTACAGCCAAGGTGTTTTAATGAAATGATCAGTGTTCTCTGCAGGTTTTTTTGTTGTGGCAGACACACAGGGTGAACACATTCCTATGCTCAGTTTGAATATAACAACCAGATAGATCAGATGAAACACGAAAGTCAAGTTAAAATGGTCACCTACCCATAAGGACCTGTGTGTTTTGTATTTACCTAGCCAAAACCAAGCCCCTCTGTGACTCTGGGGCTATGCCCACTAGGTCCCTGGTGGGTCAGACAGGAGTGGGTGTAGAACTCAACAGACGACTTGCTCTCAGCGAATCTACAACAGGCAGATGACGGACTGCATATATTTATGGCTACCCTGGCAGACCCACCTCAAAGGCTGGATAGCCATCATCCTAAGCAGGGAAAACTGCCCACATGGTTGTGTCTTTGTAAGCCAAGACCTCTCTGAGCATTTTTGCAGCTTCCTTGAGATTCTTTTCAGGATAAACAAAATTTCCACCCAGTGGGAACAGAAGACTGATTCACTGAGGTCCCGCTGTTCAATAAGAAACATTTACTCAGTGACTCTTGGATAGAAACTACATAGAAACACATTGTGTGGTGGGGACAACGAGTTCAGATCATACAGTACCTCAGGCATTATGATTCTTGTTTTTCCTGGAGCTAACATACTCTCCTTGTTGAACAGGAATCTGGTATGGGATCCTAGAAGGCATTGGAATTCTTTCTGTTATCACAAATGCATTTGTTATAGCAGTGACATCGGATTTCATCCCTCGGCTTGTTTATGCTTACAAATATGGACCTTGTGCTGGCCAAGGAGAAGCTGGACAAAAGTAAGCTTTTTTGGGGGGGAAAAACAGGTGTTCACAAAAATCACTTACTACTTGAATAGATGCAGCAGTACTGTCTATGTATGTTCTGATTCCATTAATGCAAATTTATTGTTTGTGCTCAAGTAACAGATACCAACCATAGATACCAACGCTTTGCATATTCACAGAATGGGTTGCTTCATGACTATGATTTATGATGTTAATTCAAGGCAAATGTGGCAGAGCTATTTCAGAGATTTAGTGTGTGTGACAGTATGCTGCCAAAGCTGTACTTCCCAGCTGGTGTTCATGGATATAATCTTCTTTTCATTCTGAAGCAATGCTGATACTTATCAGTTAAGGATTTGTTGAGCATTTTCAACTTATACACGGGGTTTTTTTCCTGATGTAGTGTTCAGCATGTATTACTCAAGATAGTAGAGTCTAGCAAGAGGAAGCAATTCCCAACCAAAACATCAAGACATACTTACTGAGAAAAGTAATTTGTTTTTCTTCTGAAACTGTAGTCCTTAGATTAAATCTTTCAGAAGATATTTGTGAACTGAATCTCTGCTGCCTAAGTGGATTTTCTTTCAGTGTTGCTAAACACTGAGATTATCTTAACATGTGCACACTACCAGCAAGTTGCTGCCTGGCAACTTGTAAAATCTCAGCTGTTGGTCTCAGGGAAGGTCATTGACTCCAACCAAACACAAATAGACATAGTTTGCAAATGATTTAGCAGTGGCATTGGCAAGTACCCTACTGTTCAAAGAAACCTAGGTTAAACAGTAGACAGTAACAGAGAGCTTACATTCTGCTACTGGGCATATGGCAGATTGATTTTTTTTATTCCCTGCTACAGAAAGTGAGTTCTTCCGTTGCTGCTTTTTTGACGTCTTTTGGTTGTCAATACATTTAATCACACTGACAGAAGAAGGGCATCTGGTGTGGCAGCTCTTGATTAGCAGCTCTGCTAACTTGGTGTCCTGCAAGGAGTTTGGCATTTTAGGTGCTGCCAGGGAAAATGTTCCATTTACTTTCATGAAGAGTTAAAATCCCTTCAGGGGTAAAATGGTCTTGTGCCTCTGCTTGTGCCAGTATAAAGATTTGTAGGATATTATGGCACTCTAAGCAGCTTTCCTTACTACTGATTTGCTTGGGACCACCGTGCTTGAAAAAATGTAAATATTTCTTTTTTTTAAGACTCAAACATGACTCAGTGGCTTTGAAACTAATTCTACATTGGGTAAGTAGCTTGGTTCACACAAGAAGCTCTTATCATCTTCTCACAAACCTCTTGTACAGTGTTTTCATGCTCCTGCTTTTCTGAGTGAATTTCTTACATGAAACCATCAGGTAGTAATCCTTTGAAAGAGCCAACCTGGGTCAGCATTCTGAATATTGTTATTAGCAAGCATTGTTACAAGAGCAGAAAGCTATTCAAAAATCCACAGGAATAATGAATTTTCTCAAACGAAGAAATGAAGACCATCTGTTATTGAATTACTTAAATGTAAGAGGTACTTTTTTCTTTCAAAAAACATCTGTAGGTGTTAGATCCATATGACACACAGTGATACTAGAAAAGTACTGTAATTAAATTAAGTTCCAAATCCAGTCAGTATGGAGATTTTGAAACAAAGACAGATGGTGTTTGAATATAATTTCTCAAAGACTGTAGGGTCCATAGTTCAAAAACAAACAACGCCTCAAAACAGATAAACAAATAACCCCAACCCTTACCTTGTAATATATTCTGCACCTAACTGAGTGGTTTGCCTACACTCACCTGTGCTTGGGCAGTGCAGTGTGAATAGCACAATACACTTGCTAGATCTCTCCTCAGCTTTACTAACACCAAACTTGAGCCTTTTAGTGATGCCCACAGGCCTTCATCGGGGACGTACCTTCTTCTACTCAATGTTCTCTAAACTCTGCCTGGCCCTCACAGTGCTCAGCGACCCTCACATTTTCTAAAAAGCTGGTTTAAGTGTATTACCTTTCCATCTGACCTAACGTCTCACTGTGCTAGTACCATGAGTGTAACAGTGGGAATATTTTGATTATCTTCCTAATTCTACTCATTATTTTCTCTGCCCCTATTGTGTCACCATTGAGGTGCCTTTTCAAAAGTAACCAGTCCCAGTCTTCATCATTTCTTCTCCCACAGAAATGTACTATTTCTTCCCTTTTATTGTCCAGCTGACCTATGTGAGCACTTCTTTTATATTGCCTCAACATCTCTTTCAAATACTAGTGAGCATCACAGTTGCGCTTTGGATTTTATGAAACTTAGAGGACATCCTCCTGGGTACAACAGTTAATGGAAAAACCTTGCTGTGTCCTGACGACAGCATTTTGTCCCCTCTAGGTGTATGGTTGGCTATGTTAATGCCAGTTTATCGGTATTTTTGGTGTCTGACTTTGAAAACCGTTCAGAGCCGACATCAAATGGAAGTGAATTCTCTGGTTCACCGTTAAAATATTGCAGGTAAGTATCTGATCAACATACTTCCCTGCTTTAAGATATTGCAAGGGAGAAGCATCATGATAAATCCAGTGTTGGAACTAATTTTCATAACTTAAAAAACAGTAATGGAAAGGATTAACTGTCCTGCTCAGGGATATGCTCTTCTTGGTACTGCTTGGCTGTTAACTGTATGATTCATTCCTACCTCAGAAAAAGGAGAAGCTGAAAAGCTGGTATCTGGAGGGTGTTCCTAATGCAGGATTTTTAGCCATAGGTTGAATCAGACACAATAATCATGTAAAAATGTGGTATCAAAGGGCCAATAATAGGTGCCTGATTACTTAGGTACCAGTGAGATGAAATCATGATGAGATTGTATCATAGGACATGCAAAGGGAAGTCAAGGTTGCACAGGAGTGACCACACAGTTATTTCACAGGTCTGCTAGACATAAACAGGGTCTGTCCTAAGCTGCATTTATGAAACCTCATATCCTGCATTCCCTAAGTGCTGAATGATTAATCCATTTGTGTCATTGCTTACAGGTGAAATGATTAGTAATAATCATATACTTGTGGTTTGAGTCAAAATAAAATGAGCAGTTAATTATCTGCATGTCTGTCCTCTGCCAATAGACTGGAGAAATAGAAGTCTGAGAGAAGTCTGTAATAGCAGATTTGCACCTAAGTGATTTTAATGCAAAAAACTCAAGGATGTATGTAAAGGTTATAAATGGAGTCCCAACAAAAACCACCAAGCAATAAATACAGCTACCAATTTTTAACTGCGATATTGGATTTCAAGCATGAGTCTTGGTAGTTGCAGATATGCTTATTCCCAGAATTTTTCACTGTAAAGAGTTAAAATATCCTTTCATGAGTGCCCAACAATCAAAAGATACCCTGTGATTCAAGAAAAGTCTGTGATACAGCAAAAATCAGTAATACTTGCAATATTGTGACATTTTTATGAATAAGAAGAATTTTGAGTGGTATAGCATAATGAATGGGGGGAATGTTGGGACATTAATGCTTTCATTTAACTAACTGATATTTGAGGCTGTTGTAACTTATTTGGCAGAAAGCACATTCAAATGCTGAATCCATAGATAATATCTTCTGTGGAGCAGAACCACTCTGAGAATATTCCTTTCCACATCATTTACAACAGCACTGTCTGATAATGTTTTGTAATTCTGATCATTCTCTTGCCCCTCATTAATTCATTTCTTCCCCAACTTCAAGCATGAGGTTGCTGCTTCTTGAAGCCAATGATGGAAATCCAACCAATAAAAAAAATTGTCTCCTCAATATCCCATAAACAGAGCACTATTAAAATTGGTGTGATAAATCCCCAGAAGATAAATCTGTTCATTTGGGAGACACTGAATTGTTATGCATATGTATCCCTGAAAGCAAATTAATATCTTTCCTTAGATGAGTTTATCAGCTACTTAACCCACCTGAATTCTGCTAAACATCAGTCATTTTAATTGCACTCCAAAACAGATGCTTAGGATATTGTAAAACTTCTGAAACTATGAAGTCAGAGTGTTGCTTTCATAAGGAAGGATCATCTCAGTTTTAAGAACTTGAACTAGAGATACTGTAATTTACAAGAAGTTTGATGATGGCTAAGTTGTCAAAACAGTTTATTTCAGTTTGTATAGCACCCTCTCAATCTAAGAAGGTGAAACTTTACAGAGTAATACAGATTATCACAGAGATTAAGTAACTGTTTATTTCCTTTATTCATCTGTATTTTCTTTAGTCTCTTAAAAATAACTTAGTGATCAACCTTAAGTGTATTACTTACTATGGTATTTTCAACATTTTTTACAATGGGTTTTCTGTCCCATCTAGCAAACAGATTAAGGAGGAAAAAACTTTTGCACTATTTTTAAATTAACCCTCTGCAATAGTATTTTAGAATTAACAAACTGATAGCAAAAATGGACTCCAGAATGTGTGACTTAAACAGATTCATGATTTGTAAATATAATTTTAGAGTCTTCCTGGACCCAACTTTCCCTATAGATTAAGGAGACCTAAAGTCTTCCAAGAAACATTCTGTGAGACAAGACACTAAGCCCTTTTCTCACACAGTCCTTGCCCTGTCGATATACCAAGAGGTGCAGTCCTGGCTCCACTGAAATCAGGATGAGTCATGTTTTACACCAGGGATGGCCAACTAATTGACCAAAGGCCAGGTGGAGCTGATGAGGCACTTTCATATGGATTTTGGGAGCACTATCAGGCTGACAAGACTGATTTTAAAATCACATTTGTGATTTTAAAATAGCCTTGTAGTGGGAATAAAGTGTCCGTCAAAACAGCAGAGCATCCCATCCTTCTCCATGTCCTGGGACATCTGGGAGGATACGCCTGCAAGGCACATATTGTGCTGCCAAGGGAGATGCTGTAGGGTCAAACTACTAGTGCTGAGCATCCAACATCCTCTGCATTTGCCTCAGCAGTTTTGCTTCATACAGGCGCTGGTTTGCTCCTTTATACCGAATTTCCATGACCAGCTAAATCACTCCTGGAGTGAAACCCCTCTTACCATTGGGTTTCAGCTGAAAGTAAACCCGTTTGGGTAAAGCAAAGCATGGCAAGGGGAGGTGATCAGGGCAACTTGCTTCAAAAGCATACACCTGATCTGAAATAAAACCCTAGCACAGGCCCAGCCTTAGAAGCAAGCAGTATTGTAGCAACTTGCACAATCTGAGCTGAGGTCATTTTTGGTGCAGAAAATGCAATGGTGAAGAGATGCTGTGTTTTGATTTTGCCTTCCTCCCAGGCAGCAGTGCAGGGGCTTGCTAACTACCATACTGTGGTTCTCTTTCAGGTACAGAGACTACCGAGACCCTCCTCATTCCCCAGTGCCCTATGGTTACACACTGCAGTTCTGGCATGTCTTAGCAGCACGGTTGGCTTTCATTATTGTATTTGAGGTCAGTGACCATTCAGGTGGCAAAACAAAAGCAACAGAATGAAACGAATTTCCCTCTGAAGCTTTTCCATTGGGCAGATCTTTGTCTTGGTTTTTGTTTCTTGGTTTCTGCTACTTATATTGTACTTTGTATTCTCAGATTTGTTTTCTGAACATTCACAGGTATTTAGGTTCTAATAAAAAAGGTAATGTAACACTGAAAACTTTAGCAGCGACTTGCAAAGAGGGGGAAAAAAATGAAGCTTTTATTTACTTTTTGAGGTTGGGCATTCATAATCTGTCTAGGTTGGGAAGCCATACACAGTCTGGTGTGCGAGGAAGGGGAAGAAACATGAGAAGAAAAAATTAAATCTGAATAACTCAAAACCAAAGATAGTTAAAATTACAGTAGTTACATATCTAGCTTTTTTTCTCTCTCTCTTTTTTTTTAATGCTCTTAATATCTTCAGAATGATTGACATCACATAGATTATGACAATGAGAAGGATGCAATATATTCATAATATTAGTATTTTCCATCAGTATTTCAGAAATCTTTAAGACAAATCAGAGAAGATAATAACAACTTCACATGACTGGTATTCCCAGGTTGATTTTGAAAAAGAAAGCCAGGAGGTTGGATAAATAGAACAAGATAATTTACAAACAAAATGCAGATCTTAAGGCTGGAATTTCAAGTGCCCAAATACATCTCCTAGAATTCAGGGGATCAGCATCTCTACAGCGCAGGCAGTTTAAAATGGCTTTTACTCTGCAAAGAAGACAAACGGGGGGAAAAATTATTTTAAAAATTTCTTCACTTGATCCTCTGCTCTGAAATCATAGCAACAAGGCATTCAATACAGGTATGGAAGCTGTAATCAGCAAACTGGCATATGGCATCATGTTTATGAGCACATACTGCATTTCTGACTCACAGTACTGCATAAATTCATTCTGAACTGAGCTTACAAAGCACCTCTTTGGATAACACAACAGAACTACTTGTGCTGAGAAACATTTTCTAGATTATTTCTTGAAGAGAGGTGTCTTGGTGGCTCAGCAGAAGCCCAGGGGCTGTGGCAGATTCTCCATGATTGTGACTTTCAGCCCTTCCCAGGTGAAGGAATATGGCACTGCAGGTTGTCCTCTCTTCTTCCTTAACACTGGGTATCTCATTAGAAGTTGGTCCTACGGAGATCATCTTTGCCATCATCTGTTCCACAGTCAGGGAAATATTAAGGGAAAGAAAGAAAGGTATGATAGAGGCATGCTGGGCTTAACCCCTTCTACTTTCTTGAGCTGTCGGTACTGAAAGCCACGGTATCCATCTCCAAAAAGCACTAAAAGAATGGCCTTGGCAGGTCAGCCTAAGCATTTTTAAGATTGAAGAGAGCCTGGCTTCTTGATGCGCACTTGACATAAAGGCAGCACAGCATAAGGGCAAAGATAGGTGAGGCAAGAAAAATCAGCCCTGCTCAAGTCCTTGTGCCCAGCCAAATTTGCAGCCTACTGTGGAATAACTTTTTGTGTCTGTCCAATACGTGCACAGCAGATTTGACTTTGTTTTGTCCCACCCAAAGCTCTAGGCTGGCTCATATCTGCCTCCCTCAACATGGGCCACTCTATTTGTTGGCCTTGCAAACTGTTTCCTTAACTGTATCTATGAAATCAAAAAGGTAATAGCAGCAGAAACCAATACTGTCTCTGCAGAAAACACTAATGGGTGTCTTATGATTGCTAGAGTGCTTACAATAAAAGCTGAGAGATAAGGGATTCAGGGTAGGTGTTTTCCATAAATTAAGTAACTCAGACCCCTTTTTGGCACTGTGGGTGTGGTTATTTTGGTTATCTTGACCTTCTTCAAAAACAAACAAAAGTATTTCCTATCACTGCAAAAGGAATTATCTTTTCAGGCTAAACTGACAGAAGCAGCTATTTTTCTCTTTAAAGGTTTGGCAAAAAAAATCCCAACAATTAGAGTATTGTGAGTTTTTCTCATGAGGGAAGAATACATGGGAAAACATTTTACATTCTCTTTTCAGTGGCTTTCAAAGGAAGGGTTCTGCTTGGAGAAGAAATACCTTTATTTCTCCAATCTAGAATGTGTGTCCTTTCTGAGATGGAGGATTTTTCTGTTTTTCTGCTCCTCCTCTAAAGTGAAGTGAGTAAATCTCCAAGGAGCATCTTTGATCAAACCAAAAAAGGACACTCCAGCAATCTTCTCTCGTCAACCTCAAGCTTTGCAGTGGCATGCCTAAATTATGAGGGACAAAAGATCAGTTACCTTGTGTTTAATTGTGGTATTTAGTAAATGGGAAAACATCTTTGGATAAGAGACACAGTACAAGAAAAAATGTTTTGTTTTTGTTTTGCATAGATAATTCATTATTTTCAGTGCCGATGCAAGTGTTTTATGGTAACAGGAAAGTGCTACATCATTTGATCCTCCTCTTCCTGCAGAACAATACTAATACTAGGCCCTGTCCAAACAACCTTACTGCAAATCATGACCTCAGGGGTTTGAACACACAGGTTGTATGACAGTTTTGAGGCCTTATTTGAACTCAGCTGCTCATAACCTTTGCTGTGATCCATATGCAGCTGACTTTGGCTGGAGTTTTTGTGGGGAAAAAAACCCTTGTGGTTTGTTTCATTCAAATTTAGTACTGGGTTTAGCTTTAACACAGCATCTTTCTGTAAACTGGAAGGAGAGGGTTTTCAGAAGACGTGAAAAGTACTTGTTTCTTTCCTAAGATTTAAAATTTTTCATCCCTTTTTTTTGTTTTCACAGCACCTCGTCTTTTGCATAAAGCACCTGATCTCCTACTTAATCCCAGATCTTCCAAAAGATCTGAGAGATCGGATGAGGAGAGAAAAGTACCTGATTCAGGAAATGATGTATGAAGCTGAACTAGAACGTCTGCAGAAAGAGCGGAAGGAAAGGAAAAAGAATGGAAAATCTTATCACAATGAGTGGCCATGAGGGGTGAGGAAGAAGGTGCTTAAAAGAAGATAAGAATTCTGTTGATAAAGAATTCCTGGTTTTCTACTGTGGAGAGTGCACTGAAAGTCAGTAATGTTGTGTGCACTTAGCACATGTGGGCCCCTGTTTAATAGGGTGGATATTGTCATAAGCATTTTGAAATTTGAGGTCTTTGCAAGGCTTAGTCTTCTCGAGAGCTGATGTGAACATAAACACATCAGCCCAGTGCTTAGTCTCTGCACTCTTTCCAGGAAGCTCCCAGGCCCTGACTTAAATTCAAGGCCCTGAACTTCAAAGCAGTTATATATCTTACAGTGCTTTACAGAACTTGGTGATCTTACAGCTCATTCTCACGAAGTTGCTACTTCATAATCAGTGATGCGCCTTGGCAACATGGCAGTACTTGTCCGTGTGTGTGGCCACCACCTGCAGCACGTGCATGGCAGCGTTGCTCTCTTCCACAGTGGACTGAACTGTGCTAGTTTGCATTTGCCACCAGTTATGGTCACATACGTGGACCATTTCCATTGCTCAACAATACTGAAGTACTATTTAGGAGGAGATGCATGATCATGAGTCTGATCAACTGGTCTAACAATGCTGAAAAATGTAGGCATGCAGAAGTGCTGACAGATAGCCAAGATTCTAAATGTGGCCAGAGGTATTTAACCACAGGGTCATTTGTTTGGAAATCATACTGTGCAAAGTTGGCAATATATTTTAAATATTTGAACAGTGCCTTTTCAGCTATAGGACTGTCTGGTGTCTGAAGGAATCAAATCAGGTTAGGGCATCTTGCCTAGAACTGCCCATGTATTTGTATCGCAATATCACATTGAGCTCTAGTCAGGAATTAGGGTGTATTTATCCAGAAGTCAGACTGTGTCTTAAAGACATAAGTAAAACAAACAAACAAAAAGAGACAGATGAACAAAGCTGAATGAAAAAACACAGTCATCCTGAATATCTACACTTTTAACACTTTCTTCATTCATTCTTCCATTATCTATGAAAGGGGTGGAGGGGAAAAAATAAAACAAATAAAACAAATCCTTAATGCACAGCAATTCTACACAGGCTGCAAATTAAACTTGTGCAAAATAGGCTACTGTCCATATCCTTTAGGAAATTCCATAGCATTAAGAAATTTAAGATTTCCCAGACCACTAACCCAAAATAATGGAGTTGTAGCTCTGAAGACTCCATTAAGTGTTGGATGGAGCAATATGAATCAAAAACTCTTCCACCAGTTGTTTCTACAACTTATTCTGGAAATAATTTGATAGAAGGACTAGAATTTGCCCTTCTGGACAGATCACACAATGCAAGACCCTATGGATGGATATCTCAAACTTCACATGACAACAGGACCACTTGCACCAAGAAAGATATTACCAAATTAGATTTACTGTCTTCTTTCCACTGTAAGGGAGATCTGTGCTATTTCCATGAAGAGGGAAAGTTTTAATGAAAGGTAATATGACTTCAGTAAGGAGAGGGTTGGAAGAAAATATGTGTCCCCTCCTCTCTGTAGCCACTGCCTGCCTACACTTTTCTTCCTTGCAGCAAGGAACCTCCTCCAGTAGTGAATCACTTTCCTACCTGAAGCGGATAAATGGCATAGCAGCTCCCTTTTATCAGCTGCTCCTGGGTCAAGACTGAAAGTCCCATGAGCACTGAAAGAATTTCAGGATTGGTGTGTTCTGTGCTGACTCAGTGCCAAACTGATTGGGGAGCACAGCTAGCAGTTGTAGGGTGTATTCCTGACTAATGGGGAAGTGAACTTGTTCATCATTGCTTCAGCTTACAGCAGCTGCCGACACATCCCACGTGGACAGTGGGGAAATAGGATTATTTCTGTCTCTGTAGATAGGGTGTGAGGATTAGGCAGTGTTGATCACCAATACACACATGCCAGAGTTGTTAGTATTTGCCATCCACCACCTACAGTTTTGTACTGCACTTGCAGTCTGGGGACTTTTGGGCAGGATCGCTGTGCAAAATCATATTCAGATCAAATTCATGTGAACAACTGGGTTAGTATACCCTCTGTTTAATACCTAAACCAACAGATGATGAGAGCTTAGAAACTGTTTGCTAAATAGTAAAGTAAGATGATTCATGTATAAAATCAGGGTCACCCATATGAGTGTGAACCTTTGCAATTTCCTGCAGTAAGATATAGCTTTGTCAACTTAGATCTCAATAACTTCCAAGATCTCAACTAAAACTCAATAGGATATAAACTGACTTCCAGAGGAACCACTTCAATAAAATGTGCTGAAACAAATAAAGCACAGCATAAACACAATGGATATTAATTGCTTCTGAGAGTAGTTTTCAACAAAGCTACATTATGATGAATTTTCCTGACAATACATTGCTAGAAGTTGTGTCCCACTCTGCTCTAAATGAGACCACAGGTTGGCTGCTTGCCAAGATTGCACTAGTATGATGCTGCAAGGAGCTCTGACCTGCCTGACAGACCCTGAGTACACTTCTGTCACTTCAGGTTGACCAGTCAACCCATCGAGGTTTCTTTGCTGCTGGTGTGCTGAATAGATTTCCCTGGAGTCCTTCAGAGCTATATAGAAGAACACTCAGAAAACATGCCCTCTTTTATTTAGTGGTAAAATAAAAATAATAGGACAATAATAAATGGAATTTTAATGGTCTCTAGATAGTTAATTTATGCCATTCCCTTCCTGATCTGATAATGGTTTTGCTTAAACCTCCAGGTGACCATTCTGTATGTTGTTTACTTATTCCAGCTCCACAAGAGCACCACCTTCAAGGGAATGAGAAAAATTGCAATCTCATGCATGCCACAGACACATTACATAGCAAGCAGGACAGCACACACTGGAGGATTTACTGTGAAATTATCTTGCAATCAGCATAGGATTGATCTCCATAGACCACTCTTGACAATAGCATGTACTTCATGAGCAGTTACACACCAGTTTTTAAAACCAAGAAAAAAATTGTATATTGGGACTATTTTTCAGCCTGTTTGCTACATTTTTTGCATTCTGTCCCATGCTGGTTTTACAGATCTTAGAATAAAAAGTGTAAATGAAAACCTGGATACTTTGACAAAAGAAAAATCTAGGTACAGAACATCATCTGCATTCAAGCCACCAAACACTATGACAGAAACCGTGTTTACAAATCAGTCCTTTTTTATTTTAAATCTTTCTGAAGGGAGTTACATTATTTACCATATATATAATATATATATATATAAAGTATATAGAGAGATTGTTTATTTGTAAATAGAAAAATTCTATGGAGAAGAATGTCAAGTTTTCACACTTTAAAAAAGATCATCAACATAAAGCCATGTTTAATGCTTGTATAATGTGATATAATAAACTTTAAAATAAATTATGCATACGAAAATTTACTGGTTGGCCTTCTTTACTTCCTTTTCTGTTTACCTTATTTGTTCCAAAGCAAACAGACCAGTTAGGTAGAAGCAAATACAAATGCAGCCCAAAAAGAGCCAAAATCTATCAGTACTTTCTCTCAGTGGATCTTTTGTGTATTCATATAGTCAAAAATTGTTCCTGTTAGGGTCGTTGGGGTTTTTTTTAATATTTCTACTTCAACAGGCTACTCCTTGTTTTGTCTTGCGGATCTGTCAGAAACTGCATGTAATTTGGACAGTGTGGGCTGCTCCCACAGAATTAATTAGTTTTGAGCAACCCACATATCTTTGTCAGGTAAGCTTTTAGCTGGAAGATATAAAAGATCAGGGTGCAGGAGTGAGATGGAGACTTCAAAAATTATCTTGCTCCTTTTACATGGACAAGGAAGGCCCTGGCTCAGAGTCCAGCTAGTGGAGGACAGTATATGATCCCAGAGAAAATATTCAAAATTAATGCATTGTTTTAATTAATTATGCCAATTAAAACAAGAAGCAGATAGAAAAAAAACTAAAGCAGAGTCACTTTGTAGCTCTGCAGCAGTCACAGGAGGTTAGTTAGCAAGAAACAGGGTAGTTGCAGAGGTCATCTGCAAAGCTTAAGGATGTGTGTCTCTAAACCACTTACAGCAAGATATTTCCCCATTAAAAACTTATCTTCATGTTATGATTGTGGACCAATAGATATCATCTAGCCCAAACTTTCACTTAATACCAAAATTAGAGTTAAATGACTGCTCACTGCTCAAATAGTGACTTCAAGCAACAAAGGGGAGGTAAGATGGTAATTTATGTGTTTTCTCTTTTTTAAACAACTATGGGAACTCAAAGCAGTGAGAAGGAAACTCTTTGTCACTACATTTTTTAACTATGATAACCAGGAAAATTAGTCTTCATGAACAAAACAGATAGAAGTTACAGATGATCTAAGACAGCTTAAGGCAGCATCGAGATCCCATCACAGGGATCTCAGCACAGAGTGGTGCAGAAAGGACACGCTGATGCTGTTTAACACAGGAGTGACCAGTCACCTTCAAGAGAAGCACATTAAGATGGGAATTCAACATTTGTGTTGGAAAGGCTGTGGTCGTACCCAATAACTCGGGGCAAGTGCTTGCTGCAGGCTTCTGTTCTCTGTTCACAGTTTACTCTCTCTCACAAAGCCCAGCTACACAGAGGCACACTGGTCCACTTCAGCACTCTGCAACAGCATGGAGATCCACAGTACTTACCCTTTTTCAGATCTGTGGGCTGAAAGTAGCTGGTAAGTAAAAACTGTTATATTCCAAGGCTCAAGAACTATTCCACAGCACAGAATGCCATATCTATTTCTCTGTCATGAAGACAAGGCACAAGGCTGAACAAGGTAAATTATCTTCTGAGACTCTAGAAGCATAACCAGCTTATTCAGTCTATGGGCTAATTGTATCAGAGTGACTAGGATAGTCTCATATCAGAGAGATTCCTGTTCTGAATCCCAGGAGACTTTATTCAGGAAGCTACTGTTTGTCTCAGATCCTAGATATAGGGACACAAGAGATAACTCATGAGATCTACCCGTTCACTCATACCCCTTCCACACAGCGGCTTTAGGCAATGACCTGAACACAGAGCTGCAGCAATGTGGGACAAGGGTCCTAAACTCTAGATTGGATCATGAAAACCAGTGCTACAGTAAGCAAAGGGGAAACCTGCCCCAATCTCGTAGTTTTGTGCTGGGTTAGCCAATGGAGTCATGTCCTTGGTGACACCCACACAGTGTCTACCCTGTTCTCCTCTAGAAGAGGTCTGGTCCTTGAAGCCCGTTTTTCCATCCTCACATTTTCTGATCCTGCAAATTCATCTTATGCAGTAGATCATCAAGTGCCCTCTGTCACAGGGGCACAGAAAAGAATTGATTTAGATGCTAAAGGGCCCGAGTCAAGGCAGATAAGCTAGCACTTCGTCATATTCCAAATTACAGCAGCTCAGTACTTGGCACAAATGCAGCATAACTTTTAGAAAGCATTTAAGACGTGCCATCAGTTTTTCACTTGATTCTCAAGCGTGACTGTTTCCTAGGCTTCACAGCTCAACTTTCCTGCAATGGCTTTTATTTTCCACCTTGATTCTGCTGCTGTAGAGAAGTTTTACACACTCTTGTGTAGCCAGAGTAAAAGTCTGAAGCACAAAACTAACAGTGTGGGTCAGAATCTATTCCCTGCTGTACCAGAATGTGCAGGAGAAAGAAGCAATGGGGGTTTTGACCCTCCCAAAACACCAGCACAGTGCATGGTCTGTGCACAGAAGCTGTTCAGCTTCTCTTGGCAGTCCCACCAGATGATAAGCCATTCCATACCCTGCAGCCCTGCAGAAGCCTTCATCAAATGACATCCTTTGTGATCCTTTCCCTGTCCTGCGGAACTGTGCAGGTGGCTTTGCCTGCCTGCCAAAACACACAGTGTGCTCTTGCCTGAACCAACCTTGAACATGAATCCCCAGAGATACAATAAGGACTGCCTGAACACAAATGGGTACATGACGTTTCAGCTCACAGCTCTGGAGATAACAGCAGTGGCAACTGCAGATGCAGCCTTCCCTCTTGTCCAGTACAGCCAAAAGGGCCCTCTTCTTTACTAACATCTCTGCCACACTATGCTCAGTCCAGTGCAAGAACAATTCTAGGCTACCACGCTGGGCATGAAGTAGAAGGCTACAGTGTTTCTGCTCTATGGTATTGAATAAAAATCCCAATAACTCATTTCCTTCATAAGAACAAGCTCTGTAAGGGCATGATAGGGCAGAAGAGGGAGATGGAGTGTGAAGGGAAAGACAGTACTGGCTCTTGCCTCTACCCACCAACAAAGTCACTATCGCAGCTTCCAGCAGAAAGCATTGAGGATGAGATGCAGGTAACCAAGGAACAAGTGGCTTAATAAAAACAAATAGATGATAAAACCAGCAAAATAAATACAGTCTCAGGATCAGTTCTACAAAGAAACCAGATGATACTAAATACAGCTCCTGTTCTCTGAAATCTGGTAAAGTCCCACAACCCTAATCTCTTAATACTTTCAATGCCTTAAAAGAAAAAAGAAAAACACAAACAAGAAAAACAGCCATCTCTGGGGGTATAGTACTCTTCCCAAATAAAATATTTACTCTGAGGGTGAACTGAGATTAAAAGCAGGTATTTTCCAGGAGGCTCGAGAAAATCTGGCAAATATTTCACATAGAAACATCATCTTAAGCCCTGTCACCAAGATCCAAAGTGAGACAGAGAGAATGAGAAAGTGCAAGAAAGACCTAATTCCTTTCTTGACTAATGTCAAGGTCATACAAGGGCAAGGGTGCCATGAAGCTCTGCAGATACTGGCCCAGGACCCAAGCAGAACTGGTAACTGACCCAGAACAGGAATGTCAACAGTGCTTTACATGAAGAAAACCATCTTCATGAGCTGATGCAGCCTTGTGTCACATATGAAGACCATTGACTTTGTTCTTATCACTTGCAACATCCATTTCAATGTGGCTGAAAGCAGGATTGTCAGTTCCTTCGTCTGTCACGGTAAATGGTTTACAGTTCAACACTTCCATATTCTCTGGCTGAAAAACAAAAGACAAAAAGCCATGTCATGAAGTGGAAGGAACAGTCTTCTCTCCTTTGACCTTCATGCCAGCAATCAGGCCTGACACACAGGGTGCCTTGTAAGAAAACACGTTGGTTGCCGATAGAGAACAAACATTTACTCATTGCAGTAGATGGTATTTTTCTAGGGGCATGGAAAATTTCTTATTGCATAAGGTACTAGTTGTGTAAAATGCTCTCATCACATAAAATGTTCTTGTCCTGCAAATTGACTAAAGTGGTTTTGGGAGTGCAAAGTTCTAATTGCTGTTTTCATGTCTAATGATACCAGGTCTTTGAGCTCTTGACTCCCAACCCTTCATCCTTGCCCCATCTTTGACAGGAAGAGCAGATTAACATGCATCATTGCTTTGATGTTCCATTTCTGTTAAACATAATAGATGTTGAGCTCTTCATGTGCAGAAAGTTGCTCAGTTCACCTTGTCTTTTTTATCTCAACAACTTTCTGCATTATTTGTGATGCCAAATCACTTGTTATCGAGCTCTTAGTATTATAAAAAACAGATACTTGTTTCTGACTCCAGGTATAACATAAGTATGGCTGTGAACATTAGCTTCCATGTGGGTGGTGGATTGAGTTTTTTTTTTTTTTTTGCAAAAGACTTCCAGAATTTGTTTCTGTCTGGAAACAGATGTTGGCCCATTAAAGACAGTGAATAACAGTAACTGGACAGCTGGTCTCCAGTACTGACATGGATTACAGCATTACAATAGTATGGTAAAAAATCCCTTTCTTTCACTGGTGTTCTGGTTTTCTTATCCAAAAGCTGAAATACATAGGATCATACTAAAAGGAGTTATCAGTATAAAGGAAAAACATTTTGCAAGCTCGACCATCTCAAAGATACAATCATTGCCTATAGTGCAGCACTTGAAAAGCATTAAACAAAGCTGAGCTTGAATGTTCAGCTGATGATATTTATTGAAAAGTGATCTGTAGTCTATTAAAAAAAAAGAAATTCTCCTGAATTCTCCCTTCTAAGGGATATTATTACCCAATAATGCCTCCCCTTTTCTTTTATCTTAGGGAGGGAGGTAGGAAACAGATACACCGACTAGAAATGTTTTCTCTCAAACTGTAGCCAAACTTAAAAAAAAATCCAGATTTTAGAGAACAAACGTTTACAAACAAAGGAAGCTTTGATGAGTCCAAAGAGGCACCTTCCAAGAGGCTAGTTAGGGAGTATTTTATGAGAAACATGGAGAACAACTGTCCCTTTTCTCAGTTGCTGCTCTGTTGTTGACTGAAGTCAAACTGTGGCAAAACATAGCTTCCTTGCCTATGGGAGCTGCCTTACTCCTACCCGCCTTGTGCTCTGATACTGCCTTAAAGCAGATAGTCATAGCAGGTAGCATCAGGTGCTATTCATTCTGCTGGGGAAAAAAGCAAGATGAGGACTGTTCGGCTTTGTCCCCAGGAGGAAAGATTTAAATCAGAGATGCACAATTACACTTACTGTGCCTGACTTAGACCGTGAAAAGTTGGACAGGAAATCTTCTTTGGTCAGCAGGAATTTACGATCCGTGTTCTGCTTTAGTCCTCCTGCAAAATAGGCAGGTTTCAGTCATTTCTTTACAAAGATATATATCCTGCACCTCCCAATATATAAAATGATCCATTAAGGTCTATTTGAAATGCCTTAGCCATTTCCCAGCGTCCTAGGTCCTCCTCAAATTTCCTATTTTGGAAAAAACACAGAATCTGCCAGAGATCAGAAAAGAATGAATCATATATGATTATGTCTGGGATTACCCTGCCAGTCTAGGAGCCATGCTCTGAGAGCTGGGCCCTGAGCCCCAGTTCTCAGCTCCCCGTCAGCAAGACTCCTGTCTCCAAACTCACCAGCAATTTTTACAGTACATTATTTAAGGGTTGCCCCAAGGTGGGGGAATGAAGGTTAATGGAATGTTTGGGCATTTTTAAGGCATGGAAGACTATCTATCCTTGTGAGAAAAAGAAAGGAGAAGTAAGTGCTGGGAATTAGCTCTGCTTGCCACCTGAGGCTTAAATGGGATCTTGCCCCACAAGAAGTAGGGTGACATTGTGGTTGGGTAAGTTCTTTTGTGTTTCTGTTTCTTGGGCTCAGTATTCCTCATCTGGATTTACTGAGCTGTCTGATTTTCATACTTTATTTCATGGCCTGTAAGTAACCTGATCCCAAGCTGGTGAAAAGCAAAATTTGGCTACAAGTATCACTATAGCAATGGGAAGAGCATGGGATTAGAACAAAGTGGGGAGAGGATCTTATAAAAACTTACAAGGAAAAGAAAAGGGTAGAAGCGTAGCTTGTACTTATTAGTTGCAAGGCATAGGGAAGCTAATGAAAGTGAGTTTATTTGCTGAGTTCTGAGTTTCATAGTTGTGGATCAAAGTAAAAGAAATCTAACAGCCTCGAAGTTTAGGGCTGTCATAGGAATCTGGCTGGGGATACTGGGTAAAGCTGTGAGAACAGCTACTTTTTTGCTATTTCTGCCATGCATGAGGTGGATGACAAGTGCATGTTGCATCTCACCTGGATGCAAAAGTAGTGAGGCCATGGGCTGGAACTGAAGTCCCCGCTCTTACCCATGGGGTACTGCTTTTTCCCCTTGCACAAAAGTACTGGCAAACAGAAAGAAGCTAACATAGCCATGCAGCTCTTGGGCACATTCTTGGGGAATGTGGTGAAAAGCATGCACTGTACGGGTGCAGGCAATAACTCTTGAGTGCTCTGAACTCACTGAAAGTAAAACTGCTTTTGTCCTCTAGAAGCATGGGTGTATTATCCTTGCTTGGAGCTGTTGACGTTCAGAGACAACCCTTAAAACTCCAGCCCTTGCTGGCATCTAATAAAACAGGAAAGACAGATGTCTTATGCTTTTTTTTCCCCCCAGGTTTAAAAACACGCTAAAACTTCTTTCTCCTCAGAAACTTGAAGTACCTTTTGCTGTAAGAAAAGACCAAGAATGGGATGCAGAAGGGTTGAGGGGAGGAAATTAGATTTAGGATGGTAACACAGTGCTTGCAATAGGTCACCAGCACTTCCTGTGGCAATGACAGCTCTCCGGTCATCCAGTTTGACGGAGATCGAAGACACCTTCAGTGACAGCTTTGGAACTAGTACCTGTTAGAAGGCTGACAATTATTCCCACAACTACTGTGATAAGTGTCCCAAGTGTGCTGAAGTAGAGGTAAGACAAGGAATACCAGGTGTCTGCCAGGGCAGGCCTGAAATAGAGCAGAAAAAGCGTTAATCTTTCTTTGCTGTTCCAAGGACCTTGAAAATGTCTGTTTCCAGACAGTCTAAAAATACAGTGTTTCTTCTGAAACAAGCAACCTGGTAATCTTGAACTACCTCCATACACTGATATGTGCAATGAACATTTGTTTCAAAATTCCCAGGGCAAGTTCCTTCACAAAAAAGGGAGCTGGTCAGTACAGTGAGGTAATGTATGAGATAGAGCAGGTAAAACAGGACAGTCCTGTCTTTGTTATGAACCAAGTGCACAGTTGAACATTCCGGTTATCCAGATTAAGGGATTGCTTCTTTAGAAAGGGTGAGGTTATTTAAAGGAAGGGACACAAAAACACACAAGGAAATCAACCCTGTAAAGCTCTAAACAGACAGAAACAATAGAGCAACTCTCTGTACATTTTATTTTGTTCCCCCTGACTATGTGCTCTGTCACAACAGTTGCTTTCCTGCAGTCAGGAGCAATGCTGGAAGGCTCATGCAAGAGGTGTAGTATATGAAACTGGATGTTGAGCACCCATGTGTGTAGCAGGGTGCCTCTTGATTGTGCAATGCTCCGAGGTGTGAGGATTTGGAAACCTTAGAAATGTGTTTGTTCAGCTTCTTTCTATTCCTGCTGTTCCCTATATTGCAATTCATAACTGTGTAACTTAATTGTGATTGTCCAGAGTAAGACATATGGTAACTGAAGAACGGAGGAAATCCCTTATGTTGTGTCCACTGTATGGATTACAACTTCTGAACTTCCTGAGTAGAACTATCTGCATAGACAAGTTGTTGTAGGTAGAGCTGTTAAACTGGCAAACTGCCCTTTAACTGCCTACTCCTTTAATTTATGTGACAATCTGTGGAAGTTAATCCAATAACTATAAATGTTATCTTTGTTTAACACCGTGGTTCACAGTAAGGCATACCCAAGCCTTTAGACTCAAATATTGAATTGAAGTTTTTCAGATCAATAGGAAGATTCATTTTGATTTCTGTTCTGTGATAACTCAGACAAACTTCATTTTCACAGGAAAAGAAGGAAAAAAAACAGAGGAAACTTCTGCATCTTAAATAGCATGGTAGGTAAACCAGAGAGGAATAGTTATAGTAATCCAAATGCTCTGCAGATGTCTGTGTTGCTTTAAAACAATTACACACTTTGTTGATTGCACCTGATGAACTCATATACCTCTCTGCATTTGGTGTGCTGAATATTGTTGTTAATGGAATTTCTGTTGATGTTAAATTTCCTGAGGATATATTACAGCCTGCAGTTGAGAGATAGAGTGGCTTGGTCCTCTCTGGGAGTGGAGGATAAATCTGAGATCCAATTCCAACCCAAAGTGAAATGACAAAGCCACTGACAAGACCCACAAATGCACCCTGTAAAATAAAAAAAAAAAATCAAACTTGGATTTACATGAAAAGCAGAAGGATATTTGAAAGAAACAATTCAGTAAGTAAGTAACAGTCAAGATAATCTAAACTCTAGGCTCCATAGCAGAAATGAAATATACAGTTGGGAAGAGCTGGGTAGTTTACTTCATTCCCATTTTGGGACATACAATGTTTCCTCACAGATTCTGAGCATATCTCTTTTTATTTGGCCACTAGGTCTTTGTCAAAGGATAACTTAGGCCTGCATAGTATATGGGAAAATCCTGCTTTATTTGAGGTTCCTTGAACAAACACGGGAGCAATTTTTCCATTTTCTTATGTAACTTGTTTTTGCCAAAAGTCTCACCTAAATCAGGGGTAGGTGGATTTTTTGGCTGACAGATGATTTTTTTGTTTTGTTTTGTTTTTTCTTTAGTTTAGTATATATATAAAATTTGCAACTTCAAAGAGATAAAGCTTAGTGATTAGTGAACGTCAGGATCATTAAATAGCAATCCTGCCAGACTAACTCATGGACCATACTAACAAAGTTCATTAAATTCTTTTTTGATAGAATAGTGTTTTCCTCTGGAAATGATAATTTCATGCTACTGAAGCACTCTGATAATACCCCACTTTGGTCTGCAAGCCCTTAGGCCTCATTTTTCTGTCCTGACCCCCTTTTGCTCAGGGCAGCATTCTCTGAGCCTACTGGTTGTTCAGCTACATCTCAAGATACATTGTTCCCTGCTTCTAAAACTGTGGTTTTAATAAATCCTTGTCATAGTTTTATTTTTATTCAAACTATTTTCCCCCTTCTGGACATGTAAATCTCTTCTAGGGATGGAAATTCAAGTTCCTATACAGTACTGTTCATCATTTCCTTAAGAAAAAATGAAAGGGGGCAAAATATAATGTCCTCACAGGAAGTACCAAAGACATCTCCCCTGCTGCCCAACATAAAATTATTGGTGGGAGAGGAGGGAGGAGATGCCCAAAATTATAAAAAAATTTTGGACAAACAGGTTTTTAAATTTCTACTCACAATTCCATTTGCAAAGGAGAAGAGGATTCCCAAGGCAAACAGTCCTAAAAGGGGTCCACCGACCATGCCAAAAATGCTGAGTGCTGCCTGAAGAAGGAAGGGAGTCTGGTATCAGGAGCTGTGCACGAAAGGCAAAGACTCCAAAGTGACAATAAGGGAAGATGTTGAGAAAGAAATTATGAGAATTTTTTTAACTGGTGTGTACTCAGCTGCCAGGTATAGTTACACGGGTGCTTAAAGCAAGGCTGAGCCGTGGGTGGTTTGAGGTGAGTACCCAACACAGAATAAAAACTAATCTCATAATGGTATCCAGCAATTATTTTCTTACATAATTTATTCTGGATCATTCAACACAGGCATGAAAAAGCTGTTTGACACTTACCTGCAACAAGGCTCCCAGGAGAGATGCCACTGCAGCCATAGCAATGCAGACTCCACCGTAAAACAGGCCTGCGTGGGAAAAGCAAAACAATGTGTAAATCTGCCAGAGTTTGAAAATCACTAGTGGAAAGGTTTCTGTCTAACCCAGTAGGGCCTCAACATCTACAAAATAAACTACTAGCATCTGGATTTTTAATAAGAGAGTCTGAATTGGCCAAAAGGTCAGGTTTCTGTTTACATTAAGAGGAGATCATGCAAACTTGACAAAATCTTCTTCCTGTATATTACTAAAGATTAGTTACTAAATGGCAGCCATATGGATTAGTCATAGTGGCAATAACACATGTATTGTTCATATTCCTCAGCTAATCTCCTGTGTCATTGTCCTTATTTTGAGGGAATGATTTTTGCTTCTCAGTTTAAAACCTTTGGAGCAAAAAAGTAAATGCTGGTAGATTACTGGGAGCTGGCACCATGACAAAGAACATCCTGGGTCACCAGGACATAGTGTCTCTTCCCAGCACCCATAAAACTGGCTTATTTGTTTTTTCCACCTCTGTCCCTGATGAGTTTCACTGCATAAGCAGTCTGTTAATCTCACTGTTTAACGTGACGTGTCAGGCAACTCATGACAAACAACAATATTGGCATAAGCATTGTTTGCAATAACGTTTAAGAAACTTCCCTCAGGTGAAAATATGCAATATTTGTTACCCTGCCATCAGTCTATCGTGTTCACTGGTATGGCCTGTGACACCATGTTGGGACTGTGGTATTTTCATGCTTACTACAAACACTTTCCTGGGCTACACCTGCACCTGGAGACAGACAGTACAACTAGCAGACATGGCAATTGCACTTCACAGACTTAAACATCTGCTCAGCCTAGTTTTGATCCTCTTTGAGCTACACTACGCAAAGAGCTAAACACAGTGACAATCTAAGAGTATGTCAGAGGAGATGTAAAGTGTCTCACTCTCTGGAATATTTCTGGGACACAATGCTATTGCTTGTGTATCAGTTCAAAAGATTTGTTAGACAACTGCTTCCTATGCTTCTCATTTTTGACAGGTGAAGGAAAAATAGCTGAGACGTTTGGTTTTGTAGTATTGCAAATCAACATTGAACACAGATGCAGTGCATCTTTCCTGCCTAAAGACCTAATAAGATTTTTTTTCTTAAACTCACTTATTCCCCATTTGTGTAAAACCTACACAGGTGATCTTCTCTCCCCCAAATGTTGCACCAACATAGTCCCACCCCTGCGACTGATTTACTCCTTATTTACACTATCATAAGAGAGATCTGAATCAAGCCCTCATTTCATAAAGCAAAAGCAGAAAAGATGTTTTCTAGACATACTCATCCCCATGGAAATCCACGACAACTTCTTTTCAGAGAGTGATCTGAAGTTCGGCTTAATGAGGTCTTCAACAGTCACAGCAGCCAGAGCATTGATGCTGGAGGACACTGTACTACAGAAGGCAAGATTTATACAATTTTTTTTTTTTTTATCTTAGCTGCTGTATTGGTTAGAATAACTTATTATTCCAGGTGATGCAGTAACAGCTTACGAAAATTGTTTAAAATAATTACTCTTGGTGAAGACAAAGAAAATCTTAATGAAAAGTTGAGCTGGGCCTGCAGATGTCAATGAAAATATTTATTACATATGGCTAATCTGGAAACACTACTGGTATATGTGATACCTTCACAAATGATCTACAGTATGTATCTATGAGGGTAAAATTCCCACTTACTTTCTTAGAACACAGTCTGAGAGGAGGATTCAGATAATCTAATTATGGCCATCTAAAAATCAGGTATCTAGTCCAAACTGAACTATTGTAGGTTCCCTGTGGGGTCAGAGAAACCACCACTCCTAAGGCACAAAGTCAGATAGGTGATCTCGTGTCTTATGTGTACCTTGCTCTTGCAAGCCACCAACTTTTCTTCAGCATATGAAAACAAATATCTTGGCTGTTCCCTTTATTTATGTAGCTACAAGTACTCAGAACAAGAAAGTTTATTCTGGTGTCACATTCATAAGTTTCTTCATTTCTATCTGCCTATTATTATTATTCAAAGCCTTCCTTGGGAGAGACAATGTTTCCTAAAAGGTACAGCTTGGGACAGCTGAAGAAAACACTCCCCACTACGGGGTAGAAGGGTATAAATTTGTCTCCTACAGTAAAAATATATAATGATTGTTGTTTCAACTCAAACGTCACATGTAGCTAGCTGTTTCCTCATGTTAATAGGGAACTCCAAACAGCTGTGAGTCCTAGGATCTCAGAGCACCACTGTTGGAAACTGTGGATTTTTAAGGTGCATCATCAAGAGATGTTATAGTGCTTTTCTAAAAGAATAAAAATTTAGACAAAAACCTGAAATGTTAATGTTTTAATATAAATGGAACTTTAGTTCCAAAAGAAAACCAGAAACAATATAGTAGTTTCTAAATTATTAAATTACCTTAATGTCCCACTGTAGGCACTAGCCACAAAAAGACCTGGCACTCCTGGAAAATCGTGCAGGATATCCAGCACTAGGTATGGCATTAGCTGAAAAATTCAGAGTAAGAAGTATTACCATCTTGCCCTAACTTTTCATTTTATCACTGTATTATTTTTGTTAATAGACCTTCCCACTGGCATTCTGTCCAGCTGTTCTAACTTTTAATGTCCCATCTTGCTCTGTTTATTGGTTTTCTACATAGAAAACCAATCTTAAAACATCTACTAGAGGTACAGAAAAGTCTGTTGAGACCACCTTGCAGGGGTGAGTATATAGCTGTGCCATCAGGCTTTGTTTCCACTGACAACGGTATAGGAAGCTAGTGCTGGGCAGCAGGCAGTCTATTGGGGGGGATCAGATGTCACAGTAGATGCTTTTTCTGCTGTTGACTCCACAAAAAGGTTTTTATATACAGTCCAGTAACCTCAGGGTGCCTGAAAACAATTTTGTTATTGGAAACTGTGAGCCATTTTTTGACCTTTGCAAGATCTGAGTGCTGGAAAGAGAGGAATTTTAAGATTTTCTTCCTGAGAACCATTTTTTTTCACAGACAAGTTGGTCTTCTTAGTATCTTGCTCCCAGTTTCTTATCAAAAGAATTCGACTGACAGGAACAACTTAAATTCCTTCAGGTTTCCACCTTGGCTCTCATTTTATTCTTCCCCTAAAGACCAGGTGGTCCTGCCTCAGGTGCTCCATCGTCTGTGCTCTTCTCTTGGCTTTCCAGCTACTGTCCATTGGAGCGTTATCCAGAGCCTGTGATTATCTTAGCCTTAAACATACAAATAGAAGACATTTGATTTTCTTGGACCCTGACTCTGGCCAGTCTATGGGCTCCAGGAACTCTTGTTCCCAGGTAAGTCTGCTGCTCAAGGTCTGTTTAGGAAGAGGTTGCCATCTGTGATGCAGTGGTTTCTCTGCAGCACAGTTTGATTGCCCAGGTGTCCTCCAAAGGAGGGAAGATGTTCCGTCACTAGCAAAGAACTGCCTGCTGATAGCCTTTCTCCAGGTGTATGCTTTGAGCACGATGATGTTTTGAGTCTGAGAAGGCTTTTGTTTTCATCAGTACAGAGCAATTTAGGTTGGATAACACAAAGCAGCTCACCAGGGCTCACAGCCACTCACAAGGGCACTGCTGCTCCAGCCTCTTCCCTTCACTTCTCTTCAAAGAGGTTTCATGCAATGTTGGCACTCGTGGACCCATTTTGGGTGAAAAACCCAAATATTTGCATAGGTAGTGGACTGAGCACTCTTTACATTGCTGCTCTCCCTGCTGCCGTCCTTAGCAAGCACTGAGGGACCTGCAGCTCCAGCACAGCTGGTGGATGCAGGGACTGAACAGTGACAAGGATGGACCTGCTGCTTTCTCCAGGGTGTTTCCTCACACTGGGGTCTCAGCTTAACTCCTCAGTGTTACAGACTCGCCCGATACAGAACTCCAGCATGTCATTATTCCCAACCCCCTGACTCTCGAACTGCCTCTGTCTGGTTCTTATGGCTGCAGATGAAGGATGCCCTCTCATCACCTTCCCCCAAAATGTGGGGCCTTACCTGGTCGAGTGCCGACACCTGCTTGGCCGTCCATGGGTCGCAGTCTTTGTAGACAGAGTAGAGGGCCAGCCCACACAGCGTGGCACAGGCCAGTATTGCCCAGAGTCCTACCAGGTTGATGTAGAGGGACCTGCATTAACACACATGCAAACGTGGAAACACGGACCATGTTAGAGCTCAATGTCCCACAAAAAACCCCGTCAGTGCCAAGCAAGCAAGCGCCTATCCCTGCACTGAAGAGACCTCCTGGTTGGTGACTGCCTGCCTGCAAGGGAGTCACCATATGACTCCCAGCATTTCACCTGGTTCTAAATTTAAATTTCACATGGTTGTACATTTAGATCACAGTTCTAAATGTACAAATGACACTTCTGGTATTGGTGGCACAGTCTGAGGCTCAGTCCCGGACAAAGCCTACTCTGGAGATGATGGGAGTGATATGGCAATCATCATGTTTCATCATGTGTATGAGTTGTATAATGCAGGCAGCAAGTCAGAGGATTCTCTTTCCCCCATGCCACACCCCTTGACAAACCCTAAGTAGATTTTTAAGGTGGGGTGCCCCAGATCCAAGTGCGGGGTACCTTTTAGTCAGCACTAACACTCCTTGAGTTATAGTGCAGGGCTAATATAATGCTGGAGTTGCCTTGTAAAGCTACAGATCTCCCATTTCCTCTGGAGGCAGTCTCTGTGGGAGGCAGCAATGAGGCACTGGGACCTGGGACCTTGTCTGGACCTGCCTATGGCTGCCACTTCCAGGAAACAGAGGTTTGTCAGCAACCCCAGGGCTTTAGTGACTAAACCCTTTAGTAACTAACCAGCTTGGAGTCTGGTATCATCCAGATACCCCAGCACCTTCCCATGTCCTGAGGGGAGCTTCAGGTTCAGCTAATGGTGAGAGCAGAAATGCCTTTTCATCAGGCATTAATGCTGCCTTTGCCACACACAACAGGCAGCTTCTACTGGCAGTGAAAAACACATTCTTCTTCTGGCTCAGAGAGGCCTTTTGCCCTTCCATCTAACTTTTCAATCTTCTCAAAAATTTCTATGCTCTTGGTGACTCCTGGATCACAAAGTTCTTTTCACCTAGGGTGGCCAGTTCAAGCAAACATACCCACTGGGAGCTTGGCCTTGAAAAACAGCGTTCCTTTCCAGCAGTTTCCTCCCAGTTATCTGTGTATCACTGATAGTCATTTAACTGCTTGACAGACTACATACCCTGGACCCATGCCAATTGCTAAGAACTCCTCTGGAATGATCTTTGGTTTCTGTGTAAAGATATCCATGCTTGCAATACTTCAAGAGACCTTTTAGTGCTTTCCTTTCCTAGGAAGGTGAGGGGCACCAGTCTTTGGACTGGTCTAGAGGACCAGCAGGATGAATGCAGAGGTAAACCTAACTTTACAGGCCTTGTTAGACATTGAAATGGACATTTTCAGAACAGCATAATGCAGATTAACAAGTTGAACTGCCAGTTTTATATAATAAAAAAACTCTTCAATAAGACCTTTACAAATAAAAGCTGATTTACACATAGTATGGGAAGCGGCAATTTTGCTTTGTATTTGCAATTAGGGGTGGTCTAAGCACAGCACATTTCTCTCTAGCCTAATTTAGTAAAAATGAAGTAGCCCTCTTCTCCTAGATGCTTACATATTGTTTGGATGTCTTGCATGCATTTAGCTGAAGCTGTCCTGCAGTGGCATAATCTACGTTGATATACAACACTCAGAAGCTGATTTAGCACAAAATTTAACCAATGCGCTAATTCAATCCAGCTCTTTTGAACAGATGTAATAGGAGAATCAGCCTAGAACCTCTAGGAAAGATTAGAAATACAAGAGAAACACATGGAAGCAAAATAAATTGTTTGTCTGAATCCAGCAATTCTTGTTTTTAAACTGTGTCAGTGTTTGGCAGTGAAAAGAGAGCTGGTTTTTTCCTTCTGATTTACATCCTAGCTATGACTAAGTACTGGAGTATAATAATTGTAGCACTATTGGAGGGAGGTTTTCCCATTAATTCTGCATGAGTAACATGGGGTGGAGTTTGGCCGAAGTAGGAACTGTGTAAGGCTTATTTTCAATCGTTCATTTCAGTCTGGCTCTAAGACTTTGGCACTGAAGCATGCCAGATGGCCTTGAAAGGAAAGCAGAAAAAAATGTGTTAGTAGCCCATATTTTTCTGTCAGTGTAGCTCTCCTTCTCTGAGTGCCTACTATGGTTCAGATATAAGCAGTTTGTTCAATTTTTTGAATTATTTGAGGACAACAGCATGTGCTCATACCTACTGGTGTGTTTCTTGAATGGGGTGAAATCCTTTCCCAAAGCCTGAGAAAATTCCTGTCCTTGCATCACTGTTAAAGGCCTTCCCAAAACCTGCAAGTTGGCATCTGTGAAAGAATTATTTTCTCAGCTCTGCTTTATTACAGTGCTGTCTCTTACAAAGACTTACAGTAAATGTCATTGCGGTATAAAACCATATTACTTTGACCTGATGACATTTTGCACTTCTATGTACAGGTTAAATGGCAATAAGAGATACAGGTCAACAGCACAACCTGCCAGATGTGTCTAATTACATTTGCAAATGAACTAGATAGTCACCACAGAATGGCATTGTTTATACTTGTGACAAGCTGCAACCATTACACAAAATGATTTCTCCATGCAAGGGAAATATCCTGCACAAGTGAAGCACAAGCAAGATGCCATGGAGTCCAACCACCCATGCCAGCAGGAGAGGACTCTACTGATTAAGGCTGTGCCACTGGTAATATGGTATGAGCTATAAATCCCATCCAAACCCCTGCAGAAATAGATAGCCTCTAGTCCCAGTCAAAGTTGCCACAACAGCTCAGAAATCTACTCAGAAGCTGCGATGGTGCCAGATTTCCTTTAGTCACTCTCTGCATCTGGCATGCCCTGAAGGTGTCTCTCCTTGCAAAGACAGTAGGGAGAGTGTGAGGAAGGGACATAGCCCTACATGAAGCAGGTGCTAGGGAAGAACAGCCTCACTGGCACACAAATCTGGCACAATGTATGTGGCTGTTCTCCCATATGCAACCATTCCAGGCAGCATTACAGATGTGGGATGAACCTCCTGCCTCTGCGGTGTCGAGAACCTAGAACCCACCCATGTGTCAGAGATTGTGGAGAAGCTCTCTGGTGTGTCGGAGACGTGGCAGTGAATGCTGGAGATGCACCTGATGACAAGCATCAACTCATTCCTATCTGCAGCATAAATGGCTGAAAAGTAGATTTTCTTTATTGATATAACCAAAACATTTCAGTTGTAAACTGTGCATGATTTTGTGGGCATTTTGATAACTTTATGAAATGAAAGCCTTTATAAAACTCCTTCTCTGTATGCCACTGTACCATAGAATGTATGGGCAATATAGATGATGTGTGTTTCTATATTTCTCCTAAAAATGGACATCATAAGATCGTTAATAATTCTTAAATCCTGAGCTGTGAACTAATGGAATGATTCTAAAGATAAAGGTAAAATAACATAGCTAGTAAATATACCCCATTCTGGAGTAAAGGCTCATCAGAAATGTTTACAATCACAGAAAAAAGAACCTTCTGCCAGTTAATTCTTAAACAGTTAATTCTTTAAAAAATGTCATTATTATTATGAACTCAAAATACACAATTCCTCAGCAATTTTTTCACTGAATAAGTCATTTCTGCATGTTCTCATGCCTATACTCATTGCTGAGGAAATATTTTTTAGTCTTTACTTATGCAAACTCCCCACACAATAATTTAGGTTTAGTAGAACAGCAATTTAAGATACTGTCTTGATATGAATTCAACACAAGTATATATATTTAGACTTTAGGTTGCACATAAACTTAATGCACCTATTTCTATGCAAGAACACTGACACAGTGAAGCATTCAGGTGCAAAGTTCAATGTTACAGCAACCACATGTAATTCAAATACCAGTACTTATTGTGCTCATTTGTCATCTACTCGTCCACAAAACAGAAGGCAAAAGTTGTTACCCTTTACAAATGAAATTTGTACAAACAAAAGAACCCCACGTTCCTTTCAGAAAAATCTCCTTTATAAAGAACAGTCACTGGTACATTCAGACAGTGACTCCAGGCAGACTTACAATTTTGCGTGGAATCTGCTTTTGCATGCGATGTATCTCTGGACTTGAGACTGGTTGACCCCATATATACCAGTCCACGTGAAAGTCCCACCTATAATAATCGTCCAGAAGGTGTGCCTTTGCAAGGGATTGGGATCAAAGCTACAATGAGAGGAAGAAGAGAAAACAAATTCAGAAAATAAAAGTCTTGTTAATATGTGAAGACCTTATATGCTTAGAAGAAAAAAATTCTCTATGCTTGTTCTAATACAAACTTGCTTAATTTGGCCAGACATTGAACATTCAGATACTCTTATCTTTACGTGAAATCACACAAAGCAGATTTTAAACTCAGAGCTGATATCCCGAGCCAGTGAAACACTCTGATCTGTCCAAAGGTGAAGTTGGACAGATTTATTTGCCTATAAACTACAGTCTTAAGTAAAGTTCTATAATGCCTGTGACTGCTGTGATGAAATGATGCTCCAGTAAAAAGTGTAAGATGCCTGCTTATCTAGAGGGACATCAGTCTAACACCAGTATAAAGGTGTGTTTGCAAGCCCAACCTTTGTGGACAGAGCCTCTGTAAAACATTCTGCTAGTTTAGCTCTAAGTAAATAGTAGATTTTAGGTGGCCATAAATAATAATTATTTTTAAATCACACTTTATTATAGCGATAAATTTAATTTTTGGTGAACATTGTAACATTATTTCACCTATTATGTGCCTTTATTCCTGTTCTTTTTCCATCTGTGACCTCTGTGATTGGGAGAATAAGCAATGCAGTATAATCACTGCAAATCAGCCAAACAAATTGAAAAAAATGACTGTTCACAAGAAGAAAAAAATACCCACAGATGAATTACTTACTGAAGAGCTTGCTGAAAACTTTTACAGACAAACCTGATTAATATTGTGAACTGATAGACAAAGGAAAAATTGTAATACTTCTTGCACTAAACTTTCACTAATAGCACTGAGTGAAGTTTCTCAGAGGAATAATGTATTCATCAAAGCTACAATAACCTGTTTACGTAAAGTGGTTTTTGATTCAACACTATCAGAGTGAATATTCTTGAACTTGTAAAATTATGGTTTTAGACTATGATTAATGACAATAATGGAGGGTAAAATACTATTAAATGTATATAAGTTACATATATTAAATACTTCTATTTTATCTTTCAGAGGAAAGAAAAATACTTCCCTTTTTCAAATTAGGCCAAACCCATTATTTTCTCATTGGTTTTAATTCAGTAGCTCAAATGCCAAATCAGTTGTTTTCCAATTGTGAGTAAAAATACAACTGTCCTCTTCTATTCACCATTTTCTTTCAGTGGAATCCAAAATACATCCTTAAAACACCTACTTGACAAAGTAAAAAGGTTTTTCTTTTTACAAGATTTTGCATGGTGTAAAACCTAAAAAATATCCCTCAAACTAGGTAAGCTTGTTAAAAAACATCTAAAAATTGTGTCACAACTCCTCCCCTCCTCTTCCATCAGTAGCAGTTCAATTTCACAATCACTTTGGCTCTATTTGTAGGAATAAAGAGGCACATCATCTGCAAGCACAAACTCACTCCCAGAAGTTTAATCTTCCGCCATGGTAGGAATCATTTACAATGCGTCCAATTCCCTCCTGAACCACCACAGCTCGTATAATCACAGACGAAAATCCAGCAACCATGATTCCAACCTGGAAAACGTCTGTCCACACCACTGCCTTCAGACCGCCCTGCACAAGGAACAGCACGCATCAGGTACAACAGGGTAGCAGCACTCTTGCCTTGTACTCACATTCTACTAACAGAAACGGTACTGTTCATATGATGCATAATAGATGAATGTCCTGGAACCTACCCAGGACATCCTGGCCCTTTTTTGAAGTGCAGTAGAATTTACTTTGGCCATACACATAGTTTATTCCAGTATTTTTTTCATCACATAACCTGATTCAGAAGTTTGTATCAAAAGATAAATTTGCAGACAGTGCTCATCTTACTTATCTATATGCAGTAGCACTAATTCCAGAAGGTATACCATTCACTGAATAAAAATAAACATGATTTAATCCAACACTTGGTCAATTAACACTAATTTGAAGACCAAGCTGTCCAAGTGGCATGTGCTATTTTCAGTGGCTCTATCAATAACAGAAAGGACTCGTACAGTTGCAATAAGAAGTTTGACAAATTACAAATTGACAAATTACTCAGCAAAACCCTTCCAGATCAGAAGAAAAATCACGGGAAGATTTTTAGGAAGGGAAATTTATCTTTTTTCTGTTCTTTCAGCCACAACAGAAGTTTGAATGTGTCAAAACAGAAAAAGTTTGAGTCACATAGTGTCTGCCAATGCATCCAGAGAGGCCCCTGGGTGAATATGGCCCTCTGGCCACACCTACACTGTGAAATTTACTTCCATACAGTAACCTGATTATTAGGCTGCTTTTTAATGAATTCCATATTTGATGTGAGCAGTGAAAGGAACAGAGATTTTTCTCAGCCAAAGGGCCCACATACCAGCGTGCAGTAGAAAGTGCAGACCACGCCAGTCGCCACCACTGCACCCCACAAGTCGAAGCCAGTGACTGGAAGAGAGGGAAATGGCACCAGTGTGAATGAGGCACTGGGGACAAAACACTGAAGGTCAATTTTTCACCCCCAATCTCATTGTTGAAAAAAGCTAGAAATAAGTTAAATGCAGAGGTAGGAGGTAAAAATGGCAATGAAAAGATTAGTGTGTCTAAACCAGGGGATTCGCCCTAACCAGTTCTAAAAATGAAACAGTTGTTACATATTTGGAAACTGCTAAAAAGTTAGATATATTTCAGGATCTAAGAAACTATTTGTCTTTAATGTGAACACTGCCAGACAACACATCCATTATGTTTGTAGGTCCCAACTCAGGAAGATTTTAAAATACATGTCCTTCCTTGAAGCACCTGGGTAGCACCACAGAGCCCCTAGGCGGGGATTTAAGCAAGGAAGCAGAGTAGGTATTCTCCCTGGAGGCAAGGTCGTTCAAGCGTGGTCTCGAGGAAATGCATCAGACTAAAAGCCTTTCTTTCCTTCTTCCTTCTCTTAAGGATAGTATGTTCACACCATTACAACATTGTTGTGAAGTGGTTGACATATAGGCTGTTACTGCCCCAGCTTGGCATGCTCGTGTGCTGTCAGGCAAGGCATCAGGGGGCTCTCCAACAGATAGTTCAGGCTAATGAGAAATGCTGCAACAAAACTAATGAAAAACATAAATTCTTCTAGTTGGGAGTCAGCTAAATCATAGCTTGCTTTACTGTGCGTATGCAAATACAAACAGCAAAGACATAAAACTTGTGAGTTCACACACTGGAGAAGACCAGTACACAAAGTGTTGGGTTTTTTCTTCTGTTTTGTTCAAGCAACAAGCCAAAAAAAACCCATCCAATGAGCAGAAAAACTGTGACTTGATTCTAGCCAAAATGATTAAATTTTAATTTGCATTTTATTATTCCCTTTTCTTGCCAAACAGGCAAATTAATTGTGTCATTAATTTGGCTCCATATAAAAGCTTTTTACCCTTTTAGAAATAAATGTGGCTCATTTTCAAAGCAAAAAGTCACTGTGAAGCAGAAAATGGAAATATTTAGTTTTGTAAATATCACAACAAATACCTTAAGTTGACAATCTCTTTTCTGTTGATTTAGTTTTCCTGGCAAAATGACAGATAACATTGAACAGTTCCAGGAAGTCCAAAGCCGTATTTACAGAACTTCTACCTCGCTCTCATCTTGAAGAAGAGCACTCAACCAGGGGAATTAATTTCATGTTTAGTGTCTGCATTGCCTTAAAAATTTACTTA